TGAAATAAACCAACATTACCAACACTAGGCCAATCCTTCGAAACTAATTTAAGATCCCAGGAATTTGGGAAACACTGATCGACGGATCTATGGTAAATGTTTGCCAAGCATAGGCCGTTTGTTCGTATCTCGAATGCAGAACAATTCTTTGGATGTTATCAAAATGTGTTTATTATTTATGAAAAAATTGTTATCAAATAAATTAAAAATATCAACAAGTTTTTGCATATTAATCTTAAATAATAATGTTTTTAAGGAAAGAATGATAATATTAATATTTTTTCAGGAGAAACTGCGAAGAGGGCCAATTAGCTTCTTCTTTTTTAGCTTCTTATTCGTTGAATATTATGAAAATTTCTCCTTATTAAGTTATTGTGTTAGAAGAAATGAATTGTATCAGTTACGCTGTTAAATATGAATTTATTAGAAAGTTGCTTGGTGCAGTGAAAAAAGAAATGATTTGAAAAACCGTCGACGAAATCGTATTTATAATAGCATATGTTATCTTTTCAACAAAAATTTCGTCACAGGAGAGTTCCAACGTTTTCATAAATCTGCACGCAACCCGCAGTTCATTTCGGAAGCGATCGAATGCTTTTAAAGTTTTGTCGACAGATTTTCTGTGGACTTATAATGATTGTTATAACCATAAAAGCGTAACTTGTGAAAGTGCTTGGCCTTATTTTAATCTTTTCAAGACATTTTTACATTTCTTCTGGAACGATCGAGTTGATCCGCGTGTTGTTTACATAGTAAATTCAAGAAAATTAGCTTAAAACAAAAAAATGCTTAAAATTATCTTTGTGTGATGTTTTGTGTTATAAATTGTTTGTGCTTTAACTTATTTAGGCCGAATTGTTAAATTTATTGAACGTATTAAAGCGCAAATCGTTAACATTTATGTTTTATTCTTTGAATCAATAAAATTAATGTGCCTCGATGATGTGTATCGTTAAATTTGACAGAGACAATATTTGAATATTTTTATATTTAAACCACAAAATATAAAGAAAAGTAGACACATAGTCTTATAATATAATCGAGATGGATTGATAATAACAAAAATAATAATAAGTGATTGTCGTCACCGTGATGCAAATGCAGAGAAGCATCATCGTCATAGGAGATATCTGTTTCGGTCTTTAGCTCTTCACTTATTGCACATTACGTTTAGCATCTTCTTTAGCATGAGCTTGAGCGTTTTCTTCGACTTGATTCTTCATTGCAGTGAGCGTGTTTATACGGGACGATCCGTCAATAAAAGAAATAATTAAACCGCTAGGTCTATACTATAGAAAATTATCGTATGCTACATCCAACAATTTTGTTTCTTTAACGTTTTGTGGGATTAACAAAGGGACGAGTCTCATCAGGTGTTACAGTAGTCTCCAATGTGCAAGGCCGTTAAATTAAAGGACATTTTACTTGTGTTTCCACTATTTTTCGTACATTGCACTTTTTCGAGTTTAAACACCGAGTTATGCTAGTTGGAGTTGCTGTTAGTTCCTGTCATTACATTATGTAAAATTTCAGATATTATTTATATTATTAGCAGAGAATTAATTTCACTGTACTTTATGTAGAAAGTATGAGAAAACGACAGTTTGTATCATTTGTAAGAAGCAGAGTGGCGCAGTGGGAGCGTGCTGGGCCCATAACCCAGAGGTCGGTGGATCGAAACCACTCTCTGCTAAACTTCTACGTTTTTTTCTTTTCCTCTGACTATGTCTGTCGTTTCACGAATTTCAATCCGGAATCGCTGTAGTAAATGAATACTGTTATTCATTATTAAAATCGAGTCAATTATTACTAACGATAACGGAACTTTTTCTAATCGACGGTTGTTATTTTGATTGTTCGTTGTGAAACTTAAACCTTCGCAAAGTGTATTGAACGTGACATGAAAGAAAATTGGTGTTTAGGGTTGATGTTAGGCGAACTTTTCCGCAGGGTCGTAGAGAGAGTGTATAAAGAATGTCATTCGGTTTTAAATTTTAAATAATTTTCCGTTCATTGCTCATTTAAAAGCTTTAAAATTATGTATTTCTTTTAAATACACTTAACGTTTATGTACTTAATTATAGTTAAGAATTATATTTGTGAAACCAGGACATAAGTAAGTAACAATAGATAGCGTGACATACTAAACAGTGCAAAATTAAATTTTAAAAATGTGACATAAAGTTTACAAGTTTTTCAATAGTTACAAAATAATACTAAAGGTATCAAATAATCGCCTTCAGACATGCCGCAAATCGCATGAACAGGTTTAAAGCAGGTATTTATTTAAAGAGTTGTTCTCTGTGTGTACGTTATAATAAGATATACCGTAATAAATATTTGTTATATAATGAAATTCGTGCAATAACTAGCCTACTGGGTATTAAATAGATAAAAGAACGGAAATATAATAACTTATATGTTTCGTTCTGTTTTCTCTTATGTAATGGCCTGATCTACATCCGTTTGAAATTGCGATATATACGCGCAAGGAGTCTGCAGAAGAGGCAGATAAGAGTACTTGCACCTCCCTGATATCGTATAAATTCCATAAATTATAATCGTAAAAGTGATTATATTACCTTAAACATTCGGCCCTGGGATATTTCATCTGTGTTTTTGCGTCCTTGGAATAATTCAGTTAATTTAGAATACGAGTTCTACTTTTCTTATTATTCGTACACATTATCTTTGGCCACAATGAGTTGAGGGGTTTGATGGGATAAGGCAACGAAACAAGAGGGAGATCTTTAAGTAGAATGTTTTTACGAGAAAATTAGCCCTATTTAAATGTCAGGAACGTAAAGAAACCCTAGAGAAGGCCACGCAAGCAGTTTGCTTGTAAGGCGCAAACACGTGACCAACCACTAGTGTTCAGTGCTTTTAGCTTCTGTGTCACCGGTGTGCGTGGCACAGCTTATTCTGCATCATTTAAACCGGGCGTTACTGACTCACGACGTTAGACGAGGATCGAAACTTAAGTGAATCCACTAAATTGATATCAGAATGATTAAAATAGATTGCGATTTCCTTTTGTGAAATGCAAACTAATCAAAAATTCATCATTATAAACCGATATCAATTGTGTAATTTTTTAAATTAAAATTTATGAATTTCATTAACAACATTTGTCAATTTACAGTACACTTTATTAAGGTACAGGCCAGGTCTAAAAATATACGAATGGTTCCTGCTTTGCTTGATTAAATAAAAGCAAAAAGATTGGTTTGTAAAATTTATTAATAATGTTAATTAATTTTACATTGTTTTTCGCGTTATCACATGGATATAACATCATGAAAAAAGTCAAAAATACAATTCGTATCATTACTGTGTTTGCAACAACCTTAAACGTAACCGAGACTAATAATTAAATCTAATAAAAAGCATTTAAAAATATAAAATTACATTAAAATAAAATNCATATTTAGAATTAATTTTGACACCTTACTGGAAGCTCGCGTAATTCTATACATTTTCATGCTACTCTCTTTACAGTACATCGAAAATTCTCTGAAATATCGAATTTTAAATGTTTACTTACGATTGGAGCACCCAAACTACCCGGATTCTCTATTGTGTGTCTGGCCGAACTCTCGATGTACATCGAAAAAAGGCTTTCCCAGTGTCCACAGAAAAATGTCATTAACAGACAATTAATCGAATGCCATTAAGCTGTTTATTGTAATTAATAGCAGCGACAAAACTCAAAGATTAAAAATACTTTTTAGTAATTTCCACCTTATAAAACTGGGGATAATGATGATAATCAAACGAACAGCCCAGTTATATTTTAAATAGTGTATCATTATTATTAGTTATGCTGCATCTACTTTAGAAGAAAATTTATTTCGAACCGAGGCGTACACACACTTTCCACAATAACCGATTATACTGACAACACATTCTAATGAGTAACAATGGGACAATGGACAAGTATCATTCATTCCTTTTATATTTACAGAATAGGCTAAATCATGAATTTTCTGTTTGCTGATAATGGAATTTGTAAAGGTCAACCCACATGATAAAAAAGAAACGTGCCCCAATATATGGGCGCTAATCTATAGAGCTGCATTAAAACATTTTGAGAAGGAAGATGTCGTTTCCTGAATTTTTACTTTACGGATTATTATTTAAAACTAACAAACTTTCATACTACAAGTCCAATTATAATTTATACTGATAAAGTTGTTTAATTGTGGCATTTCCAATGACTACATTCACATCTGTCAATTTATACTTTGTCCGTTAAAATCAGAATTATTATTGTTCTATAGTGCTCGTGATGTGAGTCTAACAATCTCGTTTCGTGAGTTAATAAAATTTGTTATTACAGCTGAATAATTCGTAGAAGATATCATGGTTTGGAGACGAATAAAATACTATAATACGAAATAGCTTACCTGATTCGATCTTGAGTTAAGACATTATGATTGTTCGTGCGAGATTCACGTCATTTTCACCGGTATTTAAACAAAAATGCCCCAGAGATTGATCCTCTTAACTCTTCTCTACGGCGCTCTTGGTAAAAGTGGAAAATTTAAAAACATTTTTATTTTTGTAAGAATAAATTTATTTGAATTGTCATTACACCGAAGTAACTACAATCGGTAAATGACAATATTCTTCTTCTTGTCGTTAAGGCATGATGCATTAAGCATTAAGACATGATGCATTAAGGTACTATACCTAACTACATGACTAATTTTTAGGGTAGATAGAGTTTTCGGGTGTAGATATTCACACAATAATGAAACCAGATGAAGATAAAAAATAACATGTTTATTCTTATTTTATCTTCATCTCCTATAAGGATCATGATTTTTGTTAATGTAAACAGTAAATTTGCAGAAAAAACTTCATATTATATATCATCATTTCGTATTAAAAAAATCATAAATAAATATGTATATATATACTTTAAATATTGATCAAGTTTTCTTGGTTTTTTTTTAATTTTTTTCTATTAACTTTTCATATTTTTCAATAATTTCTCTTAATTCTCATGATTACAATATACAAATATTATACATATTACACTATACAATATTAACAATAATTTCCAACATTATCTAACATTAAGAATAATACTCGTTTTATGGAAAATTGATACAAATTTATTACCAATTTATAAAAATAACATTTCGCTGCAGTATATTTTCTTATATTTAATTTTGATGTGCAGTTCATTCAAAATGGGACTTCAAAAAAGTAAAAAAATAAAATAATTAACTTGTACATATTCAATTCTGATGTTCATCTGAACATATTTATAAGTGAAGACTTTAACATTACTTTTCATCAACACATTATAATGCTATTACATTTTGATTTTGTTATAATTACACATTTACTTTCATTATGTAAATTCATAGTAGTCTGTATTTCTTTTCTCCATTTTCTTCACTAGTTTCTAAAAAAAATTCTACATTAATTCTTAAAATTACACATAATATAAGTTAATTAACTAAATTTTGGTGAATAATTGAAATTTATATTTAAATGTTCATTAAAATTATCATTAATTAATATTTTTCTCAATTTAACAGATAGTCTGCTTTATCATTTAAAGCAATAAACAAAATATTATGTTACATAATTTTCAAGAAAATAATGTTTTATAGAATTTTTAATATGTAATTCTCTAGAAGTTATATTTCTCAAGAATTATATACATATTTCTTGAGAAATTTTTCACTTACTCTATATTTTATAATATAAAATCTAAAAATTCATATAGCAATGCAAGCTTCTCTCTACCTAACAGATTGTAATTCATCAGGCAGTGGGTACATAATGTTGAATTTTCATGTTCAATACAAGTGTAGATGATGTTATGTGGGTGGCCTTTCTTTGCCAAACACTTTATACAATAGAGTAGAGATATAAAATTATATAAACTGACATTAAACAGGTAAAAGTTATAGTGTGATAAGTTTATATAAACTGAATAGACCCAGAATATTATCAGTTATCATAGGACCTAATAATGGAATGGAGCTCACAATAATCAAACTGCTGTATCCACTCCTATGCCGTACTTGTATATTATAAATAAATTAACATTTTGAAAAGTTATTTATTTTGTCATTATTTGTTTAACCATTTTCATACTATTATAAATCCATCTATAGAAAAAAAAAACCTACATCATTTGATATATTAAAAACGTTTTACGTAAGCTAAATATCTCTGAAGATCCAGAAATTTAAATTCGAAAAGCTAATAATTTTACAGAGTGTCACAAACATAATTTAATCAATTGCTTTCATGTCACTTTGAATCAGAAGAATTTTTTTTAAAACTTAACATTTCAAATCTGTAAATTTAGAATAAGATGACAAAGATATGCTAACTTTTTCCATCACGTTTTACTATAAAAATAAATTTTAATTAAAATGTATTTTTGGTTTAACTTCACTAAAGTATAGACTTTTTTCTTTAATATCTTCTTAATATTTATCATGTTTTTTTTTTTTTTTTATTAAGTATTGCTGTAGGATGTTATTTCTTAAGCTAATAAGGACTAACTGTGTAATTAAATGTTGTTCAATTCTTAAAATATTCAAAAAGTTCACTCACAGTTGCTACAAATGTAATTTATGTATGAGAATTCTATTATTGTTTGTTATGCTAACATTAATAATTGACATTAATTTTAAAAATGAATTTAATTAATGCCGAGACATAAAGTAGACTGACATAATCTAGTCTTAACATTTGGCAATTGTACATTTAAAGATTGATTATTAAATGTACAAAATAATTATTTTTAGAAATATATTTATCCATTTTATAATTGGAGTATATTAAAAATTCTCATTATATGTTGCATATTTATTTTAATTTGATTTAATTTTCCTTAAATATATTTTTGAATACTTACCAACTTTTCCATCTTCAATTAACTTATTCAAATGTAGGTGAACATTGTTAGCTGCAGCATATAATAATTTGGGAGAAAGATTCTACAAAATAATTTAGTTGCTAATCATCTTTGAATAAATAAATAAAATATTATATAATTTTTCTGATATAGATAAAAATAATAATAAAAAAGTTGTTTTTTGAAATTTTTTTTATTATTGTTTTTATTTAAATCAGAATGAAATTGTATTTAGCATCTATAAACTAAGCTTAATTAAATATGATCATATTTTCTTCATAAAAATTTAATATATGTAATTAAATAAAATAATTCTCTTTTTTAACTTATAAAAATGAAATCATTATATATTTAAAATTCTATATCATATGTTTAAAATTCTAATGAATGTAATGCTGTTCTTCCATCTTATATCATAGTATTTAATTTAAATATACTTCAGATTTTATTTTAAGAAATTCCAGCTTACTTCAAATCACAAGGCAATAAAATTAGATTATATTATTAATCTAGGACAGAGGTGGCCAACCCAAGGCCTGAGGCCACAAAATGACCTGCAGATGGATCACCTGTTGTCAACCTCAAAAAGCAATCCTAATACTGAGAAACTGTGAACTGAAAAGCAAGTTCAGAAACCACATTGAGCAGATTTTAAATTCAAATTCTTTGTTTTTCAATTAGAATTTCAAGTTTTTTGTTCTCCTTTCAATAGAAAATGTTTTTAATATCTTGTCACTTTCAAACTAATTCTAGTGGATTATTTAACATTTGTTTTTACATCCATCTAACAACATATTTTAATGTTTTTATTATCCTTGGTTACTTTTAATGTTATTTAGTTTATCTTTAACTACTAATTTAAACTGGATTTAGAGGGTGGTAGGATAGTGGCCCACCCAAAAATTCTTGCCCATNAATTAATCGCATGCCATTAAGCTGTTTATTGTAAATAGCAACGACAAAACTCAAAGATTAAAAATACTTTTTAGTAATTTTCACCTTATAAAACTGGAGATAATGTTGATAATCAAACGAACAGCCCAGTTATATTTTAAATAGTGTATCATTATTATTAAAGTTATGCTGCATCTACTTTAGAAGAAAATTTATTTCGAACCGAGGCGTACACACAACACTTTCCACAATAACTGATTACACCGACAACACATTCTAATGAGTAACAATGGGACAATGGACAAATATCATTCATTCATTTTATATTTGCAGAATAGGCTAGGTCATGAATTTTCTGTTTGCTGATAATGGAATTTGTAAAGGTCAACCCACATGATAAAAAAGAAACGTGCCCCAATTTATGGGCGCTAATCTGTAGAGCTGCATTAAAACTTTTTGAGAAGAAAGATGTCGTTTCCTGAATTTTTACTTTACTGATTATTTAAAACTAACAAACTTTCATACTACAAGTCCAATTACAATTTATATTGATAAAGTTGTTTAATTGTGGCATTCCCAATGACTACATTCACATCTGTCAATTTATACTTTGTCCGTTAATTAAAATTAGAATTACAGTATTGTTGTTCTATAGTGCTCGTGATGTGAGTCTAAGAATCTCGTTTCGTGAGTTAATAAAATTTGTTATTACAGCTGAATAATTCGTAGAAGATATCATGGTTTGGAGACGAATAAAATACTAGAATACAAAATAGTTTACCTGATTCGAACTTGAGTTAAGACATTATGATTGTTCGTGCGAGATTCACGTCATTTTCACCGGTATTTAAACAAAAATGCCCCAGAGACTGATCCTCTTAACTCTTCTCTACGGCGCTCTTGGTAGAAGTCGAAAATTTAAAAACATTTTTATTTTTGTAAGAATAAATTTGTTTGAATTGTCATTACACCGAAATAACTACAATCGGTAAATGACAATATTCTTTTTGTTGTTGTTAAGGCCGAATGCAGGCACTATACCTATCTACATGACTAATTTTTAGGGTAGAGAGAGTTTTCGGGTGTAGGTATTCACACAATAATGAAACCAGAAGATAAAAAATAACATGTTTATTCTTATTTTATCTTCATCTCGTATAAGGATCATGATTTTTATTAATGTAAACAGTAAATTTGCAGGAAAAAACTTCATATTATATATCATCATTTCGTATTAAAAAGATTATAAATAAAATTGTATATATACTTTAAATATTGATCAAGTTTTCTTGGTTTTTTTAATTTTTTCTAATAACTTTTCATATTTTTCAATAATTTCTCTTAATTCTCATGATTACAATATACAATTATGATATTACACTATACAACATTAACAGTAATTTCCAACATTATCTAAAATTAACAATAATACTCGTTTTATGGAAAATTGATACAAATTTATTACCAATCTATACAAATAACATTTTGCTACAATATATTTTCTTGTATTTAATTTTGATGTGCAGTTCATTCAAAATGGGACTTAAAAACAGTAAATTCTGATGTCGATCTGAACAAATTTATAAGTGATTTATAAGTTAACATTACTTTTCATCAACACATTATAATGCTATTACATTTTGATTTTGTTATAATTACACATTTACTTTCATTATATAAATTCATAGTAGTCTGTATTTCTTTTCTCCATTTTCTTCACTAGTTTCTAAAAAAAATTCTACATTAATTCTTAAAATTACACATAATATAAGTTAATTAACTAAATTTTGGTGAATAATTGAAATTTATATTTAAATGTTCATTAAAATTATCATTAATTAATATTTTTCTCAATTTAACAGATAGTCTGCTTTATCATTTAAAGCAATAAACAAAATATTATGTTACATAATTTTCAAGAAAATAATGTTTTATAGAATTTTTAATATGTAATTCTCTAGAAGTTATATTTCTCAAGAATTATATACATATTTCTTGAGAAATTTTTCACTTACTCTATATTTTATAATATAAAATCTAAAAATTCATATAGCAATGCAAGCTTCTCTCTACCTAACAGATTGTAATTCATCAGGCAGTGGGTACATAATGTTGAATTTTCATGTTCAATACAAGTGTAGATGATGTTATGTGGGTGGCCTTTCTTTGCCAAACACTTTATACAATAGAGTAGAGATATAAAATTATATAAACTGACATTAAACAGGTAAAAGTTATAGTGTGATAAGTTTATATAAACTGAATAGACCCAGAATATTATCAGTTATCATAGGACCTAATAATGGAATGGAGCTCACAATAATCAAACTGCTGTATCCATTCCCATGCCGTACTTGTATATTATAAATAAATTAACATTTTGAAAAGTTATTTATTTTGTCATTATTTGTTTAACCATTTTCATACTATTATAAATCCATCTATAGAAAAAACCTACATCATTTGATATATTAAAAACGTTTTACGTAAGCTAAAAATCTCTGAAGATCCAGAAATTTAAATTCAAAAAACTAATAATTTTACATAGAGTGTCACAAACATAATTTAATCAATTGCTTTCATGTCACTTTGGATCAGAAAAATTTTTTTTTTTAAACTTATCATTTCAAATCTGTAAATTTAGAATGATATAACAAAGATATGCTAACTTTTAGCATCACCTTTTACTATAAAAATAAATTTTAATTAAAGTGTTCTTTTGGTCTAACTTTACTAAAGTATAGACTTTTTTTTTTAATATCTTCTTAATATTTATCATGATTTTTTTTATAAAGTATTGCTTTAGGATGTTATTTCTTAAGCTAATAAGGACTAACTGTATAATTAAATGTTGTTCAATTCTTAAAATATTCAAAAAGTTCACTCACACTTGCTACAAATGAAATTTATGTATGAGAATTTTATTATTGTTTGTTATGCTAACATTAATAATTGACATTAATTTTAGAAATAAATTTAATTAATGCCGAGACATAAACCAGACTGATATAATCTAGTTTTAACATTCGGCAATTGTACATTTAAAGCTTGATTATTAAATGTACAAAATAATTATTTTTAGAAATATATTTATTCATTTTATAATTGGAAAATATTAAAAATTCTCATTATATGTTGCATATTTATTTAAATTTGATTTAATTTTCCTTAAATATATTTTTGAATACTTACCAACTTTTTTATCTTCGATTAACTTGAANTCGGTAATATTAAAAGTAAATACTGTATTTAAATCGTGATCAAATTTTCAAGAAACAAACGTTCGTATTGAATTTGGACTACTACTGACCAACGCTAACAGACTACCTATTGTTTAAAAGGCTTTCTGGTGGCGAAAGAAGATGGATTTTATAAAATAAAAAGCAGTTGAAACTGAATTTTTATGAATAAAAATTTGACAAACTATTTATCTTTTTATGACGAGTAAAATTTTTTTGTTGCGTTTACGGCTTTTAAGTAATGCATAAACCTACGAGGCACGAGGCCCTTCAGACCGCAAGGCATAGGCGGTGGCCCACGTCGTCCATGCCTTACACCGCCCTTGGTCNCATATCGGTAATATTAAAAGTAAATACTGTATTTAAATCGTGATCAAATTTTCAAGAAACAAACGTTCGTATTGAATTTGGACTACTACTGACCAACGCTAACAGACTACCTATTGTTTAAAAGGCTTTCTGGTGGCGCAAGAAGATGGATTTTATAAAATAAAAAGCAGTTGAAACTGAATTTTTATGAATAAAAATTTGACAAACTATTTATCTTTTTACGACGAGTAAAATTTTTTTGTTGCGTTCACGGCTTTTAAGTAATGCATAAACCTACGAGGCACGAGGCCCTTCAGACCGCAAGGCATAGGCGGTGGCCCACGTCGTCCATGCCTTACACCGCCCTTGGTCATAGAAATGATGTAATTTGAATATAAATTATTTATAAATACGTATGTCAAGTTATATTTTTATTACTACGTAAAATATATTTAAGAGTTTACGACCACTGTGCTGGGAGAGACATTGTTGAAACAAAAAAAGTTATGCATTCCACCACGTACATAAACAGTGTCGTAATTTGCCAAGTGCAAATCAGCAAATTCGTAAAATTTTTGTTTATTTTGAACAATCCAGATAATTGAAAATCCGGATAATGGAGGTTCTACTGTATTTGAATTACATCTTTGAATGCTCTGATTTAAATATTTTAGCTTAAGATTAGTCTGACTTGAGCTATGATTTCAAGTATTAAAATTATTATAAAGCTTTATAAAATTAGACCTTAATTAAAACAAATTTTTGCTATTTATAAGACACTATATTATCACCATATAAAATACAAATGATTTATCTCTTATTTCTAAATTACTATCTATTTCTGTCTAATGAATGTTTTTAATTGTGTGTGAATATCAAAGAATTTACATAATAAAAGAATGACAAAGCAGATATGAACTTCAAAGCATTGATACTAATATTAAGAATATTAACCATAACAGAAAAGTAACATATAAGAGTGACTTTATTAATTGTAATTAAATATATAAAATTCATTCACTTGATAGCAAGAACCTAGTTAAATTTAAATTTTCATAACCTGTTCATACTTAACCTTAAAATCCTTAGAAATACTTCTCATTAAACCCTAAATGATAGTTTTTTTTGGCATCTAAGTGACATTTGAAATACTTGTCAAAAACACATTATTCTGTTTTTGAACTCTGGCAATGTCTGAGTCAGTTTGATTATTAGTGTTCATAATCCATCTCATATTATATGATCTTGTACAAAAGTAAGATTGTAAATTTTTTGCAATGGTATAAGCATAAAATACAAATTTTTATTTTATATAGAATGTAATGTTCTAACCTGTAATGAATGAATATCAATTTGTAATATTCCAAATGGTTACCCATTTGGTATTTAGACAGGCTGGCATCTGCCAACATTAACAATCCCAAAAGAATAATCATTATTAACTGGAAGTTAGGAGACAATTTCATTGATGAAATAATAATACAACTTTGTGAGTTTGAGTCATGTGTAATATTTTTTATATAATATGTTTTATATAATGTATTATATGTAAAATGTATATAATGTTTTATATAATGTATATGTTATATATAATGTATTATATAATATGTTTTATATAATATAATACAGGTATACCTCGCCTTACGTCGGTAATTGGTTCCAGGAAAACGACTTAAGTCGAAAAACGACGTAAGTCGAATTTACTTGTCTCCGAATCTACTTGTCACTAGGAAAAACCATAAATTACTATTCCCATTTCTGTATTTCATTTATTAATGCATTTTTAATAATATATGGTTAATAAAAATCTATTTTAAGCATACAAACAAATAAATTTTAGTTTTTAATAAAGTACAGAAAAAAGTAATCTAAATTTACGAATGCATGTAGTGTACTGTAAATACAGTAGATACTTGTAAATGTATATATTTTAATATGATTTTATGTGCTTTGAACGCTTTTCTAGTGATATTACTACTTCACTATTTGTGACGGATGGACGTAAAGTCGAATAAAATGACTTAAACTTGATTTTTATTTTTCCGTATACTTTTTTGACAAACGACGTATAATCGGGAACGACGTAACTCGAAATGACGTAAGTCGAGGTATACCTGTATAATTTTTATATAATATGTGTATTTTTAATTCTTATTTCATTAACTTGTAACTTTAAAATATTTCTATGTCGTTTTTGAAACCATGTTTGATAAATATATTGGACGTGTTTGAATATATTTAAAATACTTTTCATCTTCTTAGCTGTCACTACTACAGTATAGTATTTATGTCACTCCTTTGAAAAGCAACATTTCAATTAAATAGAACTGAAATATGAAATAAAAAAGAAACTGCTAATCATTTAACAATTAAACCTTTCTGAAGAAAAAAAAATTTATAATATAATAGTCTAAATTTATTTATTTTCTTGTCAATTAACAGAACATAATCTTTTTCAAGTAAATTACTCTTTTTACTTGGAGAGTTAATGACAAAAATCTATTTATTTAGCAATTACAAAAATGCAATTCTTGATTTCTTGTATAGAAATAAATTCCCAAATAAACAATTTAACAAAATTTTAATTCTAATATAAAGCAAAAAGGAAAATTTATACAAATACCTTAAACTAATATTTAGAAACTATAACTTAAACTATAAATTTAGAAAAAAACCCACTTACCAAATAAACAACTTTTGTAATATCCATAATACTTAAAAATTTTGATGAATTGTTTTTCAGTACATCTATTATTTCCTCTTCCCTTGATAATCTATTTTGTATATATAATGTTATCTTTTCTTCCGGATTCTCAACAACAGGTCCATGTCCAGGATAAATAATACTTGATTTCAAGTTTAACAGCTTTTCTAAAGACTTCATATATTGAGAAAGATTTTCAAATACCTAAAATATTTATTAATTTTAGTGATTTTATTATTATTTCAGTATAAATAAGATTTAATAATATCAATTTGAAAAAATCTCATATTAGATTGAATACTGTATAAAGTCATCTTGAAAAGCTACACAATTTTCCACTCACTCAGTGAACTATTGAAAATTTCTCTCAAATTCATTCATTTCTATTAATTTGCTAAAATATATTAATTGTTCTCTGCAGCTTCCAATCACCACCATTTTTAGTAATGAATTTATTTTAGAGAACATGAAATAGTCTGCAAGAAATAAAGCAATGAATGAGGCAATAATTTAATTCTATAAGAGGCACATAATTAAAACTTTCTTAATTATCAGTGCAAAAGTAAGTTGCACTTTGATATGAAAAGAAATAGTCATCTCATATAAAACTGGGGCATTATTGGCGAATTCCTAATCAATTTAATCAAAGTTTACACATAAAATATATTCTAATTAATGCTTGTTATAGTAAAATAAATTTTTAATGAATTTGTTAGTCATCAAAAAAGAATAAACAATCAACAACTAAATTAATATATAATAATGTCTCAAAAAATATATATTTGTCATTTCAAAATTTTATTTATTAGTTCACATATTATACCTATATCATATTTTATTCAGTTTGAAATAAATTTTGCTTACACTTTGTTCCATCACCAGAAATGATGATGATAATCAATGAATACTGTAAACACTTTAATACAACTGCTTATTAATAGTGAATGAAAATAACATATAGAAGGAAACAATCAGATAATCAGATGATTTAATGGAATCAGTTGTGAAACTTAATTGCCAAATATTGTGCGTGTGTGTGTTGAAAATCACAAATAATATGTTTAAATAATCTCAGTTAACTAACTTTGGACCACTCTTTATACAATTTTTCTTCAGTTTATTATTATTAAATTATTAATAACATTAAGATTCTGTTTCATGTTACACTGAGGAAGTCACTGAGACCATTTAATGCAGGACTCAAGATCCTAAAATTTAATTGTTTTTGGGTTAAAAAAAATTATGATACAGAACATACATATATATATGGCAATTACATACAGTCAAATCCCTCTGTAGCAATATTTAGCAGAACAAGAAAAAAATATTGTTGTAGAGAAATTTATTGTTATAGTGAGAATTTTTTTTAAATATCCCCTTCCTTATAACATTGCAAGTAGGGTTATTTCATTGTTTTTCTATTCTAACATTGTCTAACTTTTGTACAACAGAAAACATGTTAGAAGAGACTAATAATACTACAAGATTTAAGTGATTTTATTGCACATTATTTCTACAATATATATTAAACATCAAAAATCAAAATCAGTTAGACCCTGAATCTACTTACATAAAAATTAATTAAGTCAAACTAAAACTAAAGTAGTAAAAAATTTAACTAATTTTCAACTTTGATGTATTATAACATTCTTATAAACTAATTCCAAAATATAATTTATTAAGGAGAATACACTTTAAAATAATTATAAAAGTGAATTTTCAATACTGGCATCCCTGTATACTTTCTAATGGAAATTTATTATGTTAAATGAGTTTAACATAACACAGTTCCAGAAATTATTATATAGGGAGGTTTTAATGTTGCAAATTACATTAATTCTAAAAGTAAAAGAAGTTTTGTTACAATTTCTTTTACTGGGTAAGATTAAGTTCTGGCAGATTTCAGGTTTTACCGTAATTTGTAATTTCTTGATAAAAACTACAAATGCCAAAAAAGTGCTCAATACTCTAGAAAAGTTAAAACTGGTTTTCTTTATTATTGTATTAAATGTTTCACCAAAAAATTTTACTGCTATATGTATTTACAGTTCAAATTAAATAATACATTTTGTCATAAAATTTGACATTTAACTTTATAATAATGATCTGGATAATATGTAGATACATTGAACAAAACCCCATAATTCCAGACCTGATTTTATTTATGAAATACATGGGAATAGTTAGAAGACAACCAAGATTCATTTCAAACAAGAACGATGTATTGTTTGAAATGTTATAACCACAAATTCTCAAAATTCCACATGAAGACTAGTTCCAAAGGTACCCAATAGTTGGAAGTAAACATTTAAATATAACAGTGAAATGCTTATTAGCCTCCATGGTCACCAATCTAACTCTGTAACTTCTTATAGGAATACATCAAAGGTAGTGTCTTTACATCATCATTGCCATATAATTTGCCAAAGTTATGCCAGAAATTACCACAATTATCAATACATTTAATACTGACACTACACAACAAATTTTGTCAGAGATGAATTATCATCTTGACATTTGCAGGATCATAAAGGGCAGCCATATTAAGTATTTAAAACTTTTGGCTGCAATCTTTCAAAAAGTGTATTGTTGTTGGCTGTACTCTAATCATTGCTAAGAATTTCATGAATAAAATCAGTCCTGCAATTATGGATAACCCTGTATTTATTATGTTATATGCTTATGTTTCTTTCTTTTAACATTTAATACTATGAATACTTTCAAATAATCTGCTTTCAGTATATTACTGAAAAATCATAAAAAGAAATTCAAATTTTAATTTAATAAAAACATTAGAAAACTTACACAAGTACCTTCCCCTAATACACAATCACCACTAAATAATGCATTTTCTTCTTCTAACACTACAACCATATGATCTTCAGTATGGCCAGGAGTATGGACTATTCTTAATAAAAAACAAATATATAAATTTATTATTTTTCACATTATTATACAAAAATAATATTAATAGTAGAAATTACCAACTCAAAATGAATAATTAAAATTCAGAAAATAAGTATTCCAGTTTACAGTAATTCAATAAAATCATTTCTTTTTTACTAACCTTTAACCACTATTATCACAGTTTAGAAAATCTTAGTTTAGACAATAATTATAATAATTTTTAAGTAATGAAATCATTCTGGATGCAAAAGACATCTTCATTTTTCTACAAATATTAAGTTTTATATAGAATATTCAGGTTTATCCTGATTTTCTATAATTTTCCTATTAATTTCTTAAAAATTTATTGTATTTCAACATTAACTTAAAATATATTAAATTTATCAAGTTACTTATTCAGTTCTGAATAATCAAAATAATGATTTTGAATAATGAATAATGAATTGTTACGTATAATACATTTAATTTTTAGAAAAGCTGCCTTTCAATTTTACTAGTTCCATGTTAATCCTCATACGAAACCTATAAAATTCAATAATTCACTATGTTACAAATCTGTGTTTTGCAAATTTTTCTAATAGTAGCCTTCTTTGTAAGAAATTTCATATAAACCTGAATTATTTTTATTAATATATAAATGGTGAAAATATTGTAATTTTCTAGGAATTATCACATGTTCAGATAGATAAACAAAAAGAAATTAACAATGTTATAAAAATGTTTATTATGAATGGATATCTGAAAAATAAAACTGAAAAATGGCTAAAATAGTTGAAAATATATCAAAAAATAAGAAAAAGGATAATAAGCATTTTTATAGGTATAAAATACCTTATATAAAAAAATTATATGAAAAATGAAAATATTTTACAAAATTATAGGGTACAAGCAGTTCCAGAACACACAAACACCATACCAGTGTGGCTTATTAGAAATGTGAATAACAACACAATTAATAGTAATCTACAGTTCCAGTGTATATATAGAGTAATAGAGTCCCTATATATATATGAGAAACAGGCAGGCAATTGAAGATTTGCTTACAAAAACACATTAAAGCAATACAATACAATAGAATGAATTTGGCTGTTTGCAAATATTATAATAGACATGGGTGTGAGATTAATAAAAGTACAATAAATATAGTTAAAAAAGAAAAAAATGTGGTTAAAACAAAATTATATGAATATTTAACAATAATAAAAGAAAAAAAGAAACATTCATTAATTAATGATAATGATGGCATAATTATAAATAATAGGCAGCAGTGATATTTAAATATTAATGTCTGATCACTGTATGTGTTAATTAAGTGTAACAGTACAGATACAATTCCAATCAGGTACAGGTATACCTCATCTTATGTCGGTAATTGGTTCCAGGAGAGGCGACGTAAGTCGAATTTACTTGTCACTAGGCTAAACCACAAATAACCATTCCCAGTCTGTATTTATAAATGCATTTTTAATAATATATGGTTAATAAGAATCTATTTTAAGCTTACAAACAAATAAAATTTTAGTTTTTAATATAGTACAGGAAAAAAGGTAATCTAAATTTACGAATACAAGTAGAATACGTACATACTTGTAAATATACATGTTTACAATTTAGCAATGTTTACAGTACATCGCAGACTCTTTATTTGTGAATGTGGTTTGCTCTAAGACATTATAAAATAAGATGATTTTGTAAGGTTAAATAACAAATACAGTTATTAAAATTATTTTGCGATAGTAAAAAATAAACTAATTTATATCAAATTTACCAATATCGAGTGTCACTGACAACAACGCCAAATGGTAGATATTAGAACTACCATGCACAATGCCAATATTGAGCTCTTAAAGACCACTAAATAAGACAACAGATGTTTTCGTATTTCGTTCTCTACAATTTATGATGATTATATTAACATTTACTGTAAATGTATGTACTTTAATACAATTTTATGTGCTTTTAACACTTTTCTAGTGATATTACAATTTCAATATTTGTGGTGGCAGACGTAAAGTCGAATAAAATGACTAAAACTTGATTTTTATTTTTCCATATATTTTTTTGACAAACGATGTAACTGAGGTATACCTGCATAATCATATGTTGAAAATTGGTCAGGTAATTAAAACTTTAATATAAATATATAGAAACCATGTGATAATAACAGTGAACCTATAATCCATAAAGTAAAACCTTTCTGTTAGAAAATAAAAATTCTAAGATTTTCACAACTAATACTATTGCAGTAATAACTCACTCAAAGAATTAAGTTGATAAATCTGACTAATAAGATAAAATTACAATATATTAGCTATTATAGTAATATTTATTTATTAATTGTATGATTACTGTATAGCTGTCAATTCAATGTAATATTACAGTAACCATTTTGGTGTAAAATAAATACTATAAATAAATGGGAAAACTTTTGGTGTAAATAAAATGTGGATATAATAATAATTAGAATGTTTTACTTTTAATAATTGTAGGTTATCCGACTAAAAATAAATTGTGTTATTAAGCTATACATAGATTTTATCACTACAGAAGTGAGGTGTTTTAAAAAAATTAAGTGGATAAACGATTTATGGAGATAAAATATTAAGTGCAATATTTGTTATATTGTGTGTATATTTTGTAAATTAAATTTGTTTATATTTTGTAAAGGTCTACACCTTCAAATGGCATCTTTTGAATATGTTTATCACAGTGTACAGGGTAACACCAAAATATTCCACAACTCAATATTATGAAATATCGTGAATAATAATACATGTATCAGGGAAGATCATTTTACATTGTGTGGCATTTATTTTATCATGTATTGTACACCTAAAGCATAGAATGTTGCCATAATTTTTTACATGTATTAATGGTGTAGTTTTGTTAAATGTGATTGGTGCCAAATCTTAATGTTCTTTTAATAGTTTTAAATGCTATATTTTAACTGGTTTTTGCTAATTATTTAAAGATGTTTGTATAAATGTTAATGTTAAGTTTTTGTATTGTCTCAAAACAATTTCCTGTATTTTAGACCTATATCCAACTGAAAAAGGCTAAGTAAAGATAGCCAAAATACATTTTGGGATATGTTAATAAAAATGGTCTAAATAGCATTATAGAGTCTCATGTGTATGATAAGAAAGCCCATAAATTTAAAATACAATAAAATAGTATAATATATTTAATACATTATAACCAAGTTCAGTTGTATTTCTTGGGTTGCAATTTGAAAAAACTGTAGACTAATAAATTCCCAATGTCATCTGTCCATCCATTTGTCTTTCCTTAATCTCAAGAATGGAGTTAGATGAAAGATGGGACAAAGTATGTAAACCTTAGGAACAGGAAGCCCCAATTAACTATATACAAACTTCCAATGTAAATCAGAAGTCATGTTATTTCAATTTAAAAATTTTCCCCTGAAAGGTGTTAGATAGATGACTGGCATGACTCCATTGTTAAAGGAAAGTATGATGTACAGGGACAAGCAACTACTAATTTGAGGTGGAGAGCATATATTTTCAATTAAATTAATTAAAAATTGCAGTGGTTAATCCAAAAATATAGTTATCCAATTTCTGCATTTAATTTTTCAGAATTCATAAAATAATCTTGACACACACTTAAATTAAAACATTAAAATAATGATTTTAAACTTACCGAAGAGTTGCACCTTCAGTCAGAACTTTCTGACCATCTGTTAAATATTTGTACTCTATATCAGAAGTAGGTTTAATATCTTCCTTGTTCAAAAGTGGAAGTTTAGATACTGGGCAATCTAAACATTAAAGAAAAATTAAATATTAAACTTTAAATTCCTTTATTTAATTGTAATCAGTTTTTAAATAAAATTACATTAGAAACTACTCAGTTTAAATATTACATTTTTAACAATATTCAGTTAATTTTAAAACTATGTCTTCAGGTATCATATTAGGAAGTGACTTATTATTACATTAAGTTTTTAAGCAACATTTTGGAGAAAAAAATATTTCAAAACTTCTTTTGACTCATCTAATAGAAACAGAATTTTTGGTATATGCTTTAACTGCTAAAAATTAAGTCCAGTAAGATATGAAAAAATGAACAGAAAACTGCTGAGCTTAATTAAGAATATACATAGAACATCCAATAAAAAAGAAGAAAAGGAATCTAGAAATGTCTTTATTTTGAAGTGTATTATTAAGTTTTAAATGAGAATAGCAGGTACAGATAAACAGGTACCAATTGTAGAATATCAATGTTACTGGTTGAAGAAGAGATCTTGCACCAAAACCTGGCTAAGAATGCATCACAATATACTCTATCCCTCTTAAGGACTACAGGTGTGATAGGGACCTTATTTATATCGGTTCCACCAAACGCTCCTTGGGAATCATAATACGTGAGCACAATGCAGACATTCAGCATGGAAGGAACACTACGGCTCTTGCTGCTTATGCAACTGACCCTGACATCAAGGCAGCCTTCAACCAAGCAAGGGTCATCATCACCTCACCCCACCCTGAGCACCTGAGATGGTTGGAGGCTATTTCCATTTATAAATCTAGCCACACCACCACGTGCATAAATTACAAAGAAGAGCCGAATTTGTCCGTCGCATGGCAGGCCCTCATGGACACCGATCTTTAATCACCAACTACCCTCATGGAATGCATATGTCCAACGCATCGATTTTGCACGAAATGTGGATTTGATTCTATTTTTAAATATTCATGTTCTATTTTTGTTCTTTGTTTTGTCGCTTGTTTTTTCTATTGCCTGAGGAAGAACTATTAAGGTTTGAAAATGTTTGTGATATATTTATCTGTTGTATCACCCACACCGGTAACAGGTTCAAGGTACTGTACATGTTGATTTCATCCCAGTGTTCTTTGGATGTAGAAGTTTGTCACAATACACTAAACTTATACGGAATTGCTTTGAAAATTTTTCAGGATAAAGACAATTGGAATTTAAATTATGAAATTTTATTGCATAACATATGTACAGCATCAACATCTTTCACTAAATTCAACATATCATCTTTGGTATATTGATATATTTTCTGTCCTAGCAAAATAAGTCATGGTAAATCTAAATATTAATATTCAAAAAGAATATTACAATTAAAATTAATTAAAATTCTTTATTGTAATTCTAAATACAGTAGAGCGTCAATATTCCGAAAGTCAATCATCCGAAAGAATTCCAGTCGGCAAATTTAAATTTTCGCCAGTGCTGTGGCGCTTCAATCTTTGGCTATGTCTTGGGCTACTCAAATATTTTGTTTTTGATACTAAATTCACTTCTGAAGTATAATTTTTTATTATTTTTAACGATACAATAGTCTTTGTTAGGCTTAACATCGACAAAAATTCAATGCGAAGCGACACGCAACGGAGAAAAATTTCGACATCGGATACGTTAAACTATTTTTTCGTACGTAAATCAGTTATCCGGACAACCCCAGTCCCCAATTGATTCGGAAAATCGACACTCTACTGTATTTATCAATACAGTTTGACGAATCTAAATAGAGACTGTATCAAAATAATAAGTTTAACATGTTCCACACTGTAAGAGAATGCATAATCTTGCAATCAATGGGAAAACATTTCATATTAACCAATTCTTTAAGAATTCTATTAGCATAAACTTTCATAATAAGTTTAAAAATTGTATATTACTAAAATGTTAAATTTTTTTTATAGAAGATGTAAATTTAATGAATTGTTTAATATATATATTTCTCCCCATAGGAAAAATCTATCTTGAATAAAGTATTGGTTAATTAATTGATTGGAATAAATATTATAACATCCACTAATATTAATAAGGAACAACTACAATAATTTGATATTAATTGAAATAATTTATAATGAATAAAAAACAATTAAATCATTAATCATCAAAAATAACATTTCAAATTAAATAATTTTAAAATTAAGTTTTTGCTTACATTTTTATCTCACATTTTTTTAATTTAAAATTTCCATTATAATTTTAAATGAAAGCAATATGTAATTCATAATAAAAAACTATAAATTATACTTTTCTCATAAAAAAATTTATGCTAATATCACATAATTAAAACATAACAAATTATTATAATTTTGACATTTGAATTAACTAATATATAATTACAAAAAGTTAAACTTTATTTATTAAATAATATAAACCAACATAATAGCATATTAAAGGTCCAAAATGAATTCTACCATTTTAAATTACTGTAATTATGTTAATTATTATCTGAAAAATGTGCAATACATACCAATCAATACAGTAATCACCTACATTTCATCTCCCATCTGCATTTGAACATCTTGTCCACTCCCGTAAACAAAAATGGAAACTCCACATCAGAGATGTTTAGTGTTCTGTGACTTGCAAGGTTGCAATCACTTGTCACTCTGAACACAAGTAATCTGCAGGAACTATAGAATTTTGATTGCTGTGGAAGGAGTGACAATGAATATGCTGTAGCAAACTGAAGAATAATTTGAGTATCAGTTGGATGTATGTTATGCAATGTGAAGTACAGACACTGAGAAATTGTAATGGGCAAATGTGAAACTTGGACAGTTTCCCAATGTTTTAATGTACAGTATATTATGATGTTCTTGGATAATAACATAATTACAATAATTAAATATGGTAGCATTCTTTTCGGAAGATCCTGTATTAATAGATTAACAAAGATCAACTGTAGTTATCCAGCTAAATTAATCAATCCTTAACAGTGAATGAAGTTTAAAGAATTCTAATGTTTCTAAGCTAGTTAATGAGTTATCTTCAGCCATAGATAGTTGAAAATGGAATGCCATTGTAGAATGTGAAGGGCATTCCACTTTCAACTGTTCAAACCTAATTATGGCACATTATTTGAGTCAGAAACATTAGCATTATTTAAACTTTACTCAATGTTAAAGTGCCTTAATTAATTCAGCTTAATAGGTTAAATATTTTACAATGTTATTAATTCAAGTCTATTAATAAATAATACAAATTGATATTACATGATGATGCAATTATTTCACAATAAAAATATTCAAGCTTATTCATATCAATATGCTGTAATTTTAAACTTTTAATCAATATCAACTGTTTCCTCTATTGTAAATAAACTTTGTTTAAACTTCAAGTGACATAAAATATCTACGTTGTTTTATTTCAAAGTCCACATATTCATTCAATAATTCATATTAAATTATCTTAATTTAAATGATAATAAATATGCTATTTTAAATGACATCAAAATGATGTTTGTACTATGGGGGAGAAAGATTATTACTCATTAACTTATATAAAAGTCAATCTACTATAATCGCTTTTCTAAATCATAAATAAATCATCTATACTAGTACAAATTAATATAATTATATAATAATGTAGATTTTTGTGTCATCCCTACAGAAAAAAAAAACATAAATTGAAACTTATTTAACTCACTTTTACCTCTGTGGAATACTAAACACCTATAACTGTCACATTTGGGCTCTGTAAACCCTTTATGTAAACCCTGATTCCACTACATCCACCTAAAGTTTCAGTTTAATGTGATATAATGTGTTTCAATTCATTAGTAGCAGAGGATTCACACATTAGCATAGCCAACAGACAGTTGGAGTTTGGCTATATAGTCTTTTGCCAAACAATAGTTATCAATCTCAAACCATAAAAATCTCATTGACAGTCACAAGAAATGTGAAGTTTAGACCAAGAGGATTTTAAGATAATAAGTGTAACTGGCACTTTAAGGCCTGGTGTGGATTTGCAACCACATTTATCCTTGGATCACTCTTCAAAGAAGAGAGAAACTAGGTCCCAATGGACATGTAACATGCTCTTAATGACTCAAAGATACCAAGAGATGCTCGACACTAACTGCAACAGCAACAATGTCTTAGATCAACTACTCTAATGAAAGAAGGTTCCTACACTTATTGATCACTGCATCTAATAGATTATGTTTTATAGATTATTTTGTAGCTACAGAATTCTAAATGATTTATTAACTTGAACGTATAAAAATATATTTCTAAACAAATGTATATGTTTTAATTTAGGTAAATATTTTGCAATAAAACCTATTACATGACAATACTAACATTATTTATTTCCACTTAAATTTTTAACAGGAAACTTTCATATTAACTTTATATGTTATGTCAAGAAAATTTATAAATAAACTAAAATTAATGAGTTTTGAAATAATTTTTTTTTAATGATATTAATTGATGTAAGTACGTACATCAAAACTAATAAAGAATTTGTGCCAGGAAAATATATTAAACTTTATGAGTTAATGTTAGTATATTTATTAATTTCCTTGACATAATATATGTATAAAGTTAATATAAAAATTTCCTGTTAAAAATGTAAGCAGAAATAAATAATACTATATAAATAAACATTTTATTATTAAAATATAAGCATTTATTTATTTACTGTGTTTTCAATATCAGTATAACAGGCTACTTAATGATTTATTATAAAACAATAATTTATACTTTCTTCATAAAAACAAACTGCATTTTTTTAAAATAAACTTGAAATTTTAATAACTAAAAATAAAAGAATTATTTTATTCTATGATTTTATAGAATGATTGAAATACAATAATGATTTAATTGAAATTTATTACAACTATTACTAAATCAAATTAAATGCATTTCATATATGTAAACATAAAATCTAATCTAAATGTATAATCTATATAAATAAAAATGTAGCTTTTTGATAACAATCACTGAGTTCAGCGTTAACACGATTTTCTTATATGCGATATAAAAAAATCATGTTAACGCTGAACTTAGTGCTTGTTATCAAGAAGCTATACAATTTTGGTGTGAGTTTTATTTATTTAACTATTTCTATAAATAAAAATGTAAATGTTCATTAGTTCAAAATCTTAAATCTCTGAAAGTTCTTAACTGATTGCTTTGAAACTTTAACATAACGCTGCATTCAAATACATGCATGTTTTTATATTATACAGATGTTAAAATTCCCCCCGCAGGGGAGAGGGACAAAATTAAGGCTTACTGTAAAGAACTGGTCTTCCATTATTCTATTTTAAATGCAGTTTTTTGCATTTTTGATTGCGTTTAAATAGGGTATGTCAAGAGAATGTACACTAAGAAGGGATTTTTCGAAATTCACCCCCACGGAAGGTGTTATACATTTATAAGAGATGCACTTTGAGCCACAGCAATGTGTGGCCAGGTACAGCTAGTATATATATATATATATATCTATACTAATATTATAAAGAGGTAATGTTTGTATGTATGTATGTATGTATGTATGTTAGTTTGTATGCAGCAGGTAATCTCCGAAACTACTCATCCGATTTCAAAAATTCTTTCACCAATATTTAGAATGGAACTTCAGGGTGGACATAGGCTATATATTATTCCGTTAAACATGGGGGATGGACAGTTCTTTACGGTAAGCCTTACGGAAAAGGTTACCGTAAAGAACTCTGCTTCTATTTATACCATTTTAGATGCAGTTTTTTCCGTTTTTGATTGCGTTTTAATAGAGTACGTCAACAGAATGTACACTAAGAAGGGATTTTTCGATATTCCCCCCGCGGGGGAGAGAGACAGGATTAAGGCTTACTCTGAAAAACTTGGCTTCTATTATACTATTTTAGATGCGGGTTTTTGCGTTTTTGATTGCGTTTTAATAGGGTACGTCAACAGAATGTACACTAAGAAAAAATTTTTCGAAAAATTTTCCCCCACTGGGGAAGTGTTATACATTTATAATAGATACATTTTGAGCCACAACAAGGCGTGGCAGAGTCTGCTAGTATATATATAAATGTGTTATAAATATTAGATTACTTTTCCAGTTCTGTTATATATAACAAAGGAAAATTATGAAGATCAGTCAAAAATGTCTCCCAAAATATTTGCATTTTTAGACTATGAGAACCTTGAAATGTTGACAAATGCAAAAAATTCAGGGGTTTTTCTGTATGTATATGTTAGTGTGTGTGGGGGAGGAGGCACAATTTTGTTCACCCACTTTGAAGCTTAATAACTCCTGTGCTTTTTGTTGAAAATTTCAGAAATTTTGCAGAAAGGATTAGAGGGATTGATGATTTTAACTTCTGATGGTTAAAGGTCAAGAAAATGGAAAGATAAAGAAGGTTGTGTGTTATATCTCGAGTAAGGTTGTACTTAAATGACATTTTCCTCATTATTAGTATTTACAATTTTTTATAAAATCCATCCCTACCTTCAAAATTAAGCTTTTTGCTATTTTATAATAAATATAAACATCTTACTAAATTTGATACATATTTTATAATAATTAAAACTATAAAAAGTTTTTTTTGATAAAAATATTGTAACAGATTGCATCATATACACAGTTATAAATGTTGCCAGGAAAGTTAAGCATCTCATTGCTGGATTTTTATTATATATACTGTATTTAATATATCTATTTATATACATAAATCCCATTACATTTAACAAGAAATTAAATCAATAAGGAAATACTAGCAATCAACCAAGAAATTCAGTAAAATCCAGTTTTTCCTCTTTGATTAATTTCTTTATTTTTCCAGGAAATCCTGGAATATGGAACATTTCGACATCCCAACCAAAACTGTTGAGATAAAAGTGCAGGGAGTCAAATTACAGGATGTCTACTTCCTTTAGATTAATTCAAGCCTAAATCACTTCAACATTATGCTGTCCTTGGTATGATGTAAACTTTGAATGAGGAGTTTTCCCCACCCTGTACAAGCAAAAAGTCAGATGAGCCATACTTGTATATATGATCCTTTGCAAAATATTCACCTCAAAGGTTGGTTTTTACCACGTGCCAGAATTAGTATACTGCCTATTCTCCACACTCCACACATAGTTGTGCCCTTTGATGCAAATGACAGCTAGCACTGAAGCACACCCTCCTAAAACTCTATAACGACAAGTACTTAACAAATTGTCACATAAGCTACTCAAAGCCAGCTATTGTTACCACCTGTCCAGTTTTCACCCAGACAGTCCGGGAATTGATTCACTGTCCAGGTGATCTATTAATTTTGTCCGGGAATTTCGTAGAAATTATAATGAAACAAAGTTCTTGCAAATATTGTTACAAATTTACATTATTTTAACAGCAAAAGAAGTCACGCTCATTGAAACCCATCTGCAATTCTGCCATGTTTACGCCGACTTGTAGCGTAAAACTCCTGTTGATTTTTTTTTTTTTTTCTTATTTTTTGCATGTACAGGTATACCTTGCCTTACGTCGGTAATTGGTCAGGAAAGCGACATAAGTCGAATTTACTTGTCTCCGAATCTACTTGTCACTAGGCTAAACCATAAATTACCATTCCCAGTTCTGTATTTTATTTATTAATGCATTTCTAATAATATACAGTTAATAAGGATTATTTTAAGATTACAAACAAATAAATTTTGGTTTTTAATATAGTACAGAAAAAAGTAATCTAAATTTACGAATGCATGTACTTTAAATACAGTACATACTTGTAAATGTAATATTTTAATATGATTTTATGTGTGTGAGGGCCGAGATTCGAATAGTTATATTCATTTTATTCATTCATTTACCGTTTTGTTTCAAAATCAAACCGATTTTTTTAAAGTTACGGTTAACACAAAAAGGGATAAAACAACTGACAAATTTTCTCATAAAAATCGCTCATAAAAACTCCGTTCCAACGACAATACTTCCCTGTAGAAGATGAGTTAACTGTTGTGTCATAGGTTTGTCACTTCGCCCACCATTGGTCAACGAAGATCATCACCTGTGACATACATGGGGAAATCTCGAAAAGAGAGCCCCCATATAAAAGACAAGTGCAATGACGACACGGGGGGAAAAAGTTATTTTCTATACTGTGTGTGTGTGTGTGGATTACCTGCCTCTCGTTGCCACTGTCTTCAACAGACTTTGAACTTTGACTGATTTGAACTTTGGACTATATTCCGAATCCAGGAGAACAAGAAACTACATCCACAGTTTAACTCGAGGTATTTATCCTACACGCAATGATATGTAAGCTCTCTCTCGCTATTCGACTATTCCAAACTCGCGGTTAGGGGCGCGACTACTTTATACTTTGCCTTTACTTTATGAACTATACGGATTGAACCCCCGAGAGGGATTTGTATTCCTATTATTAACCATGTATAAATGTATGGAATAAACGGGTATTTTGTTAACGAACTTGGATTGGAGTGCATTTCTTCCGACATTTTCCACTCCATACTGAACCCGAAGTCCTCGACGAGATCGCTCGTGATAATTTTCCCTATCTATCCGCGTATCTATCCGCGATAAATTGATAGATTGGTGTCAGATCCTGACAGGTGAAAGAATCTAACGATCCTTTCTCCTAACCCTTTTTTCCCATCCTTTAGACAAGCGAGACCAGACCTCAAGGTCTTGAGTCGAGTAAGTGGTAGGAGAGGAAAATCCTCGTAAACATCCTACCCCCGATTAGTCTCACATGTGCTTTAAACGCTTTTCTAGTGATATTACGACTTCAATATTTGTGGCAGACAGACGTAAAGTCAAATAAAACGACTTAAACTTGATTTTTATTTTTCCGTATACTTTTTTAACAAACGACGTATAATCGGGAATGACGTAACTCGAAACGACGTAAGTCGAGGTATACCTGTATGACCGTACATGTCTGAAATAGAGCTAAGTTATTTGTACCCGTTCTTTCTTAATTTAGATTACTTACATTACTCCTACACAAAATCCCTAGTCCCTAACTGTAATTGATTTAGAACCGGCATGCATGTTATTCTTCACATTGTAAAATGACATGGCGCATGCATCACGAACTTCTGTTCGAACAAACCCGACGTGCTGTCCAGGTCGATTTTCAAAAGGTGGCAACACTAAAGCCAACATAATGGCACAGGCTAAATAGTTAAACACAATAGTCTTAGTGGAGTCACGAATCCCAATCGCCCGTGACCCGAAAATAGGCCAATCTCGGATCTACATTCAGGAGACCGTATCTCACCAAGAGCTGCACATAGAGGTACAATTCATTTGACTTTTTGCTCCTATAGGTAGTCTATTGCTCCAACAAGAGGCGTAATCGCACCCTTATCTTACAAGAGGCGTAATCAGAGGCGTAATCCGACAAGAGGCGTAATCAGAGGCGTAATCGCACCCTTACCTTACCCTGAAAATAAAGTATAAATACAGTAGAATATTAATTTCAGAATTTACCTGGCTTGATAATTTCAAAAATGTCTCTAATTCCACCAACATGATCATGATGCCAATGAGTGAGAAGGATATGTTGTAAGGAAATATCATGTTCTTCTAAATATTGCTTCAAGAGTTTAGTATATTCAGTTTTATTTGGTTCCGTAGTGTCTAACAGAATCCGTCTGAAAATTACAAACAATATCACGTCATAAACGCATACAAATCTAATTTTAATGAATTTTTCTCAATATACCTTTTCCCGTATCCTATAAGATAAGAGTTAGTACCTTGAAGCGTCATAGGACCTGGATTGCAGCCCAAAATCCTCACTACTCTTTGAGATAATTGAGAAACTTTAGGCAAAACTGTCGTCATGTTCACGAATAACCGACGATTCTCTTTCCTTGATCTAAAACCAGACGATAGCGGAAGTAAACAGAATGACACCACCTAGCGTCAAATACTGGCATTTTACGTGCTGCCAGATAATCGTAGCAAAAAGTTACCGAAATCTGGCGGTGAAGTAGCCCAAAGTTGTCCAAATGGAAATTCCCACAAAATCTTTAATTTCTACATATTAAATAAAGTTTTATTATTTTTATTATTATTACTATTATTTAGAGCTTATTAGTACCACTCCTGGTGAGATCCTGTAGATCGTTTTCTTTTACTTCACTCTGTGAAGTTCCGATCAATTCCAAGATCCATTATATTCACAATAGTAACGCATTCAGAATTTTGTTGAATTTTGCATTAAAAATGCAAATCCAATAAAATTCTTACTTTATATGGCCGATAATTCATAAGAAGTATAGAAATAGAAGACACGACACGATATGCGACAGAAAATTCATTTTAATTAGGAAAATATTTTTGAAAAATTTTCTAGCTTTCTTTTTCTTTGGAGGACGCCAGGACTCCTCGGTTTCCCTCTGGGTGCGCCAGTGATTCTCAAACAAACATCTTTATTATATCTCATGAAAAGCCTCTATTAATTCAAATTTTTATCAATCTCTTTCCAACCTGTGGGCACTAACAGAGCTACAATTCGGCCAGACCCACAATGGGGTGGCCGAGTGGTGAAGACCTCCCGTCGAAAAATTCCTGAGGATATTTGACCCGTCTGGATTTGATCCTGGTCCCCAGAGCGGTAGCCCGCCACAATAGTTAATTATCAAAAGATACAATGAATTTATTTTCAAAGTCCTCAACTTAGCATTTAATTATAAATTAGTCCAGAAATAAAACGTGCAAATATAATATTTAAACTGATACACGTAATCAATCAATATAAATTTAAAAAGTTTTATTAAGTAAAAGTTTATATACACGTTTAAGACTGGTCTCCGCAATTTTCCGAAAATAAGCAAATTAATAAATTTATGACCAATCTGATAATAAATTTAATGACGAATGTTTTATTATATACATTACATACACTATTGCACAGTGTGCGATTTTTTTAATATTTTTGTATGAATTTAATTTAAAGTAACTGTTGTGTAGTAAGCTAGAAAATCGTGACATTCTTTGAAGACCAAGCAAACACACAGTAACATCCATATATACTCGAACACCGCCTTTCCTTTTTTTTTTTTTTTTACATTTCTCGGCGTTTTAAGATGTCCAGAATCCGAACGTGTAAAAACCTTGAAAAATCATTTTCTGACCGATCGCCATACTTTTCCTGTCGTATATAACAGCTAAAAAGTTATAATTGAACCTGAAGTAATACCTTTGCACGAGTCCAGAAAGGACACAAATGTGGACTGGACAGAACCTAAGTGGATATTACACCAAATTTTATGTAATTGTTACCAAGTTAAACACATCATCTGTAACAAAGAATGATTTTAAGCAGAAATATTCTCTTTTTATTATATTACCAGACGCCACATTTTGCCATATACTGGTTTAGAAACGTTACAAATTCTCTTCACTCATCGTCACTCAAAAGTTTACTATTAATCTTACGTGTTATAATAAAGGTGAAATTTAGAGCTCAAAATATGAAAAATGGACTAAACGTGAGAAATTCTGACATATGCAGAGCATTGTATATGTCAGGAATATCTCATGTGCAGTTTGTTTTGTTTTAACCTGTTTTCAGTACATAGCTATACAACTGTAATATCTATCATATTATAGGAGTCAGATAAATACTGTAAAGCAAATTTGATTAAATATTCGGCTTCAAATTTGCATTAATATATATGTAACTGAAAAAATGAAGCATTTTAAAAGTATTGAACAACATATTTTTTTCTATTAGTGTCTACTTTATAGTTGAGACAAAAAGTACTATGGACATCACTTACAGTAGTTGCTGGCTAAGCAAGAGCATTATTTGTTATCACGTTAGTTTTCGCAGTGTCACCTACTATTAACGGGTTTACACTACCTTCACTTTTATATGTGAAACCATAAGTCAGTTAATTTTAAGGACAATTATACACTACTCATTCAGGAATTGAAATAATTCGCACCACCCATTTTTCTTTTCCTTGATATTTAAACGTCAGTAATGCCACGCATGCCTGTTCAGCGCAGTCAAAGGCATTACATCTACCGAACATAGTTTTGAGAAGGTTTTATCATTAGACTGAGGAAGCAGGATAGCTGTTTCACAAAAGTTCTGAGCTGACGTCAGAGCACACAAACAGTGCGATCAGGCTCTGGAGGCCGCAGACATATCACCAGGGCCGTGTTCAGTAACGCAGAATTCTTGCTAAGTCTAGTTATGCTGCGATGTTGAACTCGTTTCTAACTACTGCTTGACTCTTCCCATCACTAAAATTCTAGCTAGTTCAGTCAGCTTCTTTTGTCTATGCTAACTTCTACTAGTGACGTCATTGTTTTTATCTTGCCGTACGATTTGCAAGATGGCTGCTCGTGTTGGAGTAAACGTATTTTGTTATAAGAATCGCAAAGTTATTCTCTCATTCTGAATCATTAACTCGTTCTAAAATGACTTCGAAATGTAAAATTATCATATGATGGTGTAACAGATTCTGAATAGATTTTAACGGAAGATGGCGGCCCATTTTGTTGATTACAATTAATAATTGCTTTATTAATTTCGCCAATGACAGTCACTTTCTACCAACGGATAATTACAAATATGAAAGCCTTCAATAGCTGGAAATATTGACAATTTTATTTTCGTTGTTTCTTTTATTGAAGTAAGCTTAGCAGTTGAGGAATGACTCTGTACGTCTTCCGTGTCAAAGTTCAGTACCAGTGGTACCTCAGGATACGAAATTAATCCGTTCCGAAACTGAGATCGTATCATGAAAATGTCGTAAGGTGGATCATCTTTTCCCATACGATTACATGTAAAACCAAATAATTCGTTCCAACGCGAAAAACATACTCAAATTAAAGCCAAGTAATACATTAACAAAAAAATAACTGTAGTAAGAAAAACAAATGAAAAATGCGAACTAATGTAACGTCGTATGGTGAGTTTTTGTTCGTATCGTGAAGCAAAAATATGTTCGAATTTCATGTCGTATCCTGAAAATTTCGTATGCTGGGGCGTTTGTAACCTGAGGTACCACTGTATGTCTATTTCTTGTGTTTTAGTATACACATGAAATAAATTACAGTATTTACTCGAATATGAGACGATCTTGCGTATAAAACGAGGAGTGACTTTAGAGATCAAAATAAAGAATGTTATATTTATTACTACAACTGTAATTCGTTTAATCACAATTATAATATTATCAAATGCACGTATTAACGCAAAACAACAACGTTTGCCTAAATACGTCATAAATAGAAAGTAAATCGAAAACATTATAATGGGCATGACTAAAAAAAGTTTACTTTTAAGGATTGAGAATGTTCTAATATTCATTAAAAATAGCACCATACATAATACAAAATAACTACATTTATAGTTATTGCTAATTGACCTGTATTTCATTGATGTTTTTAAAAATAAATAGTATTTTCTGCTAACGAATGAGACGCAACGCGGTTTTTATTTAATGGACGTAGGATTAAACCAATAAATAAAAGAAAGTGTTACTTAACTTGTCTACAGTAAATTCCAACTTACGATAAATAGACTGTAAATCTAATATGACAACATGAACTAAACACGGTTCACAGAAATTATTTCAAAAACGAAAACAATCCTTCGCTCGCGCGTATCGGACAACCAAGGTTTTCGATGAAGTAAAAAATGAATAAAAGCCTCATATTCTACGCGAGTAAATACGGTACATTATTTGGTAAAAATACTCAAAATTCGAAAAAGTGCTTTCCACGCTTTTGTAATTTCATCCATCGTAAATAGAGCGAATGAAGGTCTCCATTTTCATGGTTCATGTTTGGACACTTATGTGGACAAAGAGGTTCATCTACTAAGACGAACCACTTATGTAGAAAACTGTCATTCAAGCAAATGTAAATACGCACTTTCTCCCATTCAAAGGTTACAGAGTTTATTAATTTATTGGAATTTCCTNGTTACCGTTATTGATGGAGACCAGATCCTTTTTTCCTTACTTCGAACGACGATCCTCCAGGTCCTTTGAAGGTTTGCATATATATTTGATTTAGTGAAAGAATTTTTTACAAATATTCATTAAATAATCTTTTTATTTATTCTATTAATTCTTACTACAACTTATTATGGAACACAATTAAAATAATGCAGATTATAAAATTGTGATCGTGGATGCAGTAATATGCAAAATACAATCTAGTTTAGACAAGATGGTATAAATTTCAACGATGAAGACGATTATTGCTTAATTTAATATATCTGTGTACTTTCAACGAGTGAAATTTTTTCTCACAAAGTTAGACATAATGGAAATAACCATCGAAGATATTCAATTTCTATTTACAGTATTCATATGCGGGTTATGGATATTCACTGGAAACGAGTTGAACAATGTAAGGCTTTTATTAATAATTATTTAAGTTAGTTTTCTAACGTGTAAGTCTATTTACAGGACTCGCTAGGATCTGTCATTTTAAAATACTATTCAATCCGCATAATAGATAGCGTCATTTTTTAAAAAATGCATCAATTGATATTTTTCTCGTTACCATTTCTAGCTTTCTAAACTATACAGAATTTTTTATGTAAGTACGTACTACTATGTGTTTTCTAATGCTTATATTGTATACACGTGTAATAATAATTTGTTTTTTATTTATTGCAGCCATACATATTTTTAGTTATTAATTCTTTTACACGTGTAGACTAGAAAGAATTTTATATGTAAGTATTACTATGTGTTTTTTAGTGCTTATATTGTATAAACGTGTAATATTAATTCTGTTTATTTATTGCAGCTTTACATATTTTTAGCAATTATTAACTTCTGTGTGCTCTGATGACATTTCAATAGATGTTACAACTTGCCTCTTCAATAATAAAAGCCGCATAAACATTTTATGTTCCATCCTCTATCAAACATGAAGCTAGCATATCTGCTGGTAAGTCTTCTTGTTTCTTGGCTTTCGATCGTGTTACGTACCTAATCCTTTGCCTCCTAATTTCCAGATCTTGCTTTGTTTCTCTCGCTCCACGTGTTACGCGTCAAACGAGGACGAACGTAAGGAAGAAAGGGGTTAATGCCGCACCTGTATTGTATTTGTATGCCGCACCTTTATTGTATTTGTATGTAACTGATAAATAATTTTTAGTCACATTGATAAGGTTAAAAGGCTAGAAATTACCTTTCAGATGCTTTGGTTCAAGATATCGACGGCGTGTTTGATGTTAATGATATCGGCAATAACGGCCAAACCCGACGCCAGGGAATTTGTATTCCACGACCAGGTGGTTCGAACTTATCCTCCCGATCCTTTGGACGCTTACATCTTGATGCCGGTGATGATGGCCATCGGAGCCGGTTTGTTCGCCATGCCCTTCTTGACGGTCCTTTGCATGAACATGATGAATGGCAACGGAAACGGAAACGGACACTCGATAACTTCCGGAAAGAAGAGAAGAAATGCGGAACAACAGACGGACTTCCTTTACCTTTTGGAAAAATCGATAGCCGAATTTGGAAAATCTTAAATACAGTATTTAAATATGTGTAATAATTCAATAAATTTTAGCCNTGAATATCCATATCCCGCATATGAATACTGTAAATAGAAATTGAATATCTTCGATGGTTATTTCCATTATGTCTAACTTTGTGAGAAAAAATTTCACTCGTTGAAAGTACACAGATATATTAAATTAAGCAATAATCGTCCTCATCGTTGCAATTTATACCATCCTGTCTCAAATAGATTGTGATCGTGGATGCAGTAATATGCAAATTAGAATTTTATAATCTGCATTATTTTAATTGTGTTCCATAATGAATTGTAGTAAGAATTAATAGAATAAATAAAAAGATTATCCAATGAATATTTGTAAAGAACTTCTTCCACTAAATCAGATATATATGTAAAATTCTCAAAGAACTTGTAATATTTTAGAAGTAATAAATGAATAATATAAATTTTCATTTGAATTTTTATTTATTTTTATTAATCGAAATTTATTAAAACTCCTACACATACACACTTATCTAAATTTTTTAGCAATGTCCAATAAAAATAGATTTTTACAATTATCAAAATACTCTCTCATAAATTGCCACAAACTCTTGGCCTTATTCGTTTGTACTTAATACTTAAATAGTATTCATTTCACGTTAAATTTACTAATTTCTTTACTATTTAAATAGTTATGCATGTTTTCTAATTATTCCGATTTAATAAAAGGGGAAATTTCAATAAATTAATAAACTCTGTAACCTATGAATGGGAGAAAGTGCGTATTTACATTTGCTTGAATGACAGTTTTCAATATAAGTGGTTCGTCTTAGTAGATGAACTTCGTTGTCCACAGAAGTGTCCAAACATGAACCATGAAAATGGAGACATTCGTTCGCTCTATTTACGATGGATGAAATTACAGGAGCGTGGAAAGCACTTTTTCGAATTTTGAGTATTAATTTTGAGTATTTTTACCAAATAATGTACCGTATTTACTCGCGTAGAATATGAGGCTTTTATTCATTTTTTACTTCATCGAAAACCTAGGTTGTCCGATATGCGCGAGCGAAGGATTGTTTTCGTTTTTGAAATAATTTCTGTGAACCGTGTTTAGTTCATGTTGTCATTATAGATCTACAGTCTATTTATCGTAAGTTGGAATTTACTGTAGGCAAGTTAAGTAACACTTTCTTTTATCTATTGGCTTAATCCTACGTCCATTAAATAAAAACCGCGTTGCGTCTCATTCGTTAGCAGAAAATACTATTTATTTTTAAAAACATCAATGAAATACAGGTCAATTAGCAATAACTATAAATGTATTTATTTTGTGTTATGTATGGTGCTATTTTTAATGAATATTAGAACATTCTCAATCCTTAAAAATAAACTTTTTTTAGTCATGCCCATTATAATGTTTTCGATTTACTTTCTATTTATGACGTATTTAGGCAAACGTTGTTGTTTTGCGTTAATACGTGCATTTGATAATATTACAATTGTGATTAAACAAATTACAGTTGTAGTAATAAATATAACATTCTTTATTTTGATCTCTAAAGTCACTCCTCGTTTCATACGCAAGATCGTCTCATATTCGAGTAAATACTGTAATTTATTATATGTGTATAATTTCCATGCTGGAAGCAGATGACACCAAATAACCTTGTTTACATGATGATGATCAGAGATAGTAGGGTAATTGCAATGTGGTAGCGTATGAACAGCCGTAGATAGGAGTAGACACCGTTGTTGAGCCTTGACGTTTGTAGTTCTGATATAGTAGTTTAGAACCTTTTCTATAATACATAGTGGCAAAGGAAGGAACTCAGCTAGTGTCTGAGAGGCATTGGTAGAAACAGTTCTGCAGCACTTCGAAATTCTGATGGCAAACTGTCTTTGAAGAGAAAATAATTTACCTGCTACTGAATTTTTACTAGTTACATGACCCCAGCTAAAGGCCTAAATCATGCCTAAATATTACGTAAGATAAGGAAGGGGAGGGGGATCAAAGAAAATATTACGGTTTCTTACACAAGAGTGAGTCGGGGTCTAGAATGGCCGAAATTATCTTACGTAATTTATGGACGGCCCCTTACGATCATCTCTTCTTATTTTATCATGCATTTAAATTACAAATTTTCTAACTGATTACAAGCATATGCAATATTGCAAGGAAGCACTGTGAAACTCAATTATTACTTCAATTTTCAGTTAAACTAATTATTTATTTTAAAACAGTGTATTCACTTTTACCAAAGAAAAACGAATAAAGCTACACACGACTCATCAATAGAATATGTAATTTTAGAAAGTGTACCTATACTTTGGTAACAAGTAAAAAGCGATAAATTCGATTATATTATTATTAAAAGATAAAAAGTGTTAGTAATATTTGTTCGTTAAGTCGGATATATTGAGCCAGCAAGGATGTATACGGGAGACGGACGAAACTTCTACACGTCTTTACCCCACGAAGACTACAGACTCACAAGTGTTACGGAGGGACACACATGTTACATAAGTAGTAATAACTTAGAGGGTCATTGGCAACTAGAACAAATAAACAGTGCCCTCGTATGTCACACTATACCTGTCAGAGGATCAGGAGATAAACTTTTTCACACGTAACAGCCACATTCCTAACAATCCCCCGCTTGGCTGTTGCGTGGCCACAGGTTTTTCAATAACAATAGTTAACATATTTAATATTATCGAATATTAAGACCCAATAATTTACAACACTTCTTGTGTTTAATAGGACCAAGTGCCTTTGTCAATACATCTGCGGGCATATTTTCACTCGAAATGTGTTTCAGTTTTATTTTACCTTCACTGACGAGGTCTTTTATAAAATGTAATTTTACGTCAATATGCTTTGCCCTTTTGTGCGAGCCTTCCCCATTTGCCAAACATATTGCTGCTTGATTATCATAGAATATACAAACCGTTTTTTTTTAAGTTCGCTTGATAGCAATTCTCTTAATAGCGAGTTAATCCAGATTGCCTCCTTACTAGCGTTGGTAATTGATACATATTCTGCTTCGCACGTTGAAAGGCTAACAGTAGTTTGTTTACAGCTTGACCTGCTCACGAGGTTATCTCCTATCTTAAAACAATAGCCAGAATATGACTTTCTGTCGTCTTCGTCGCTGGCATAATCGGCATCGCAGAAACCTAAAATGTCTATTTCTCCGTCTCTTTTATAATTAAGTGTTACATCTGCAGCTCCTTTTAGATACTTGAATACTCTCTTTACTGCCTCCCAGTGAGTTCTATCAAATGCGTTGTTATACTTGCTCAGATGTGACACAATATGCGCGATATCGGGTCTGGTCATTACCGCGGCATACATCAAACATCCGATTGCCTGCTGATAGGGTATTCTCGACATCAATTCAGAATCTATCACCTCAGGTTTCTTTAGTTTTAAGCTAGAATCGCATGGAGTTGACACTGCATTACATTTATCCATAAAAAAGCGTTCTAAAGTTTCATGAATGTATTTCTCCTGGCTTAGTTTAATTGTACCTGTGTTGTTATCCCTCCTAATTTCTATCCCTAAGAATGACTTTGGAAAACCCAAGTCCTTTAGTTTGAACGATTCTGTTAATCTCTGCTTAATTTCGTCTACCCATTTATCATTATTATGAGCTATAATAATATCATCTACATGAATCAACAGTAATAAAATTTTCGTACCTTCAGCCCTATAATATAAACAGTCATCAGAGCTTGACCTTTTCAATTTTATCTGCATCAATTTTTTTTTTATTGTCTGTTGCCACACGCGCCCTGATTGTTTTAATCCATACAATGCTTTATGCAACTTATAAACCCAGTTTTCTTTCCCTTCTATGCTGAAACCTTCTGGTTGTGTTACATAGATTTCGTCATGCAACTCTCCATTAAGAAAAGCTGTCTCGAAATCAAACTGTCTGAGTTCTAGGTTTTTCATTGCAGCTAATGCAAATAGCATCCTAATAGTTGTGCTCCTAGCGGTCGATGCATATGTTTCCCCAAAATCTACTCCACTAACCTGAGCGCAGCCTTTAGCTACTAACCTAGCTTTGAATTTACTTTTCCCTTCTAATTCCTTCTTTGTAAAAACCCATTTAGTTTTTATCGCTCTCTTATTACTGGGCAATTCACATAAAGACCATACCTTTTGATCTTCAATCGCCTTTAACTCAGTTTTCATTGCATTAATCCAATCTTTAGAATCTGCGTTCTTAATTGCCTGCATATATGAAAAAGGCACTTGACCTACCGCATAAACAATTGGATTTCCGTATCTTTGTGGTGGTCTAACATTTCTTCTTAATCGAGCATTTCTAGGGACAGATGAATAGTTCTGCTCTTGATTTTGCTCGTGCTCTTCAGATTCATCATCCAAGTCCTCACAATTGGAATCAGCCCCCGCTGACCTTTGGTGTTCATCTTCGTTGAACTTTTCCTTGTAATCTGAATTAGAGATGGGGAATACGTGGACAGTTTCTTTCAGTTTCCTGTCAAATGTATATCTTCTTGACATCTCATCAAATTTTACGTCTCTTGATATCACAATGGACTTGTTGCTCGGATCATACAGTCTGTAGGCTTTCATGGTGGGCGAGTAACCAAGAAAGATGCATTTTCGTGCTCGTGCTTAAAACTTATGCTTTCGTTGCACCTTATGGATGTGTACATAAGCTGTGCATCCGAATACTCTAAGGTGTCTCAGACTAACTTTTCGGTTAAACCATTTCTCATACGGATTATTTCCATTCTTTTGTGGAATTCGATTCACGATGTAAGCTGCTGTTAAAGATACTTTCACCCCAGTACTCCGGTGAAATGTTAGCTTCTAGTAACATGCAGCGGGCCTTTTCCAACAAAGTTCTATTCATCCGCTCGGATTTTCCATTCTGCTGCGGTGAGTACGGGGAAGTTAATTGGTGAATGATTCCATTTTCACTCAAAAAGCTTTTAAATCGGCTATTCACATATTCACCGCCGTTATCAGTTCGCAAGTTTTTTATTTCTTTACCAGTTTGCTTTTTTACCAATCTTTTATAGTTTCTAAAACAATCGAGTACTTCGCTTTTGTGTTTCATGAGATATACATGAATCCATCCGGAATAATCGTCGATGAAGGTCAGCAAATATTTCGCACCTCCGAGTGATGTCACTCCCATAGGGCCACATACGTCACTATGTACAAGCTCAAGTAGACCTTTTGTTTCTTGATTTTTTCTTTGACCAAACGGCTGGCGTTGACTTTTGCCCTTAATACACACATCGCAAGCTTCATTTGATACTGTTTTGTAGTCGATGCTGTTTGGTTTCTCCTTTAATATGTGCTTCATTGTGGCTTCACTTGTGTGTCCCATTCGTTTGTGCCATAACCAATATTTGCTCTGAGGTCTAGCTACATTAACAATGTTTTTATATGTGTTTAGTACATATAAATGATTTACCTTCGTTGCTGTGGCATACATAAGTTCGCCCTTTTTGATGACACATCTACTTCCAAAAAAATAAGTACTCAAGCCTCTCTTAGTAAGCTGGCTTACTGATAGTAGATTGACGGTCGCTTCGGGCACATACCAAACATCTTTTAATATGCAATTGTAAGGTACACCTTTCACGTTTAAGCGCAAAGATAAATCACCTTCACCTGCGACTTTTAAAGTTGAATCGTTTGCCACATATATCACGTGATTAGCTGGTCTGAACTTTATGAAAAGCTCACGAGCATAACTTAAATGATGAGTGCTGCCACTGTCTATAATCCAATCAGAGTTATGTGCGTCAACACTTTTGTTTTTAATTGAACATAATATTATCCGATTTTTCTGGTTCGGATCTGTTTCACTGTGACATTGCGATGCCTTATGTCCATATTTGTTGCACTTGAAGCATTTTCCATTAAAGATTTTTGTATCGTCATACTTTTGTTTGATACCAGTGCCTCTTCTATCGAAACGGTTTCTTGTTGCACTAAACACTTTTGACTCATTAGTGTTACTACATTCATGTTTTCTGGCAGCCTGTTGCAGCAGTTTAGATTTAACTGCAACTGAGGTTAATTTTACGTCTGCGGCAATCGCTAGATTGGTCAGTAAACTATCATATTCCTCCGGTAAACGCATTAATAATAATTCGGCATGCTCCTGATCATCGATTACACAACCGATTTTCCTCAACTGGTCAATGAGGGTTTGTATTTTGTTAATATAAGCAGCCATACCTGAACATGTGTTAAAATCCATGGAGTAAAGTTCCCTTTTTATTTGCAGCCTTCTCAGAATACTCTTATCTTCGTAGAGATTTGCTATTGTATCCCATGCTTCCTTTGAACTTGTACAGTGTTGGATATCTACTTTAACATGGTCCCCAACTGTCAGGGCTATCGTCCGAAGAAATGGTGGAAGAAGCCGTCCAGCGCAAAAGGCCTTGGTGGAAAATGTTGTTTTTCTGCTGCTAAAAATAACACTCGTTTTGCCGAGCCTTCTTGCACGGATTTCGACAAATCACCGAATGTGACAGTCATCCGGAAGTGATCTTTCACCCAACTACGACACTTTTACCCGGAATTGACCTTTCACCCGGCTACCACTTAATCAACTGGATTTGACTTTCCATTCCAATTTGCTAACGATCATTCGAGATTCGTTCTTCCACTTCGGTTAAAGTGCACACAGAACAACATTAAGCAGTGTTCTCGTCTTTAATAAAAGAGTTTGTTACGCTGTTGTTTAATTAAACGATTATAACAGGCCAAAGCAACGTATAGTATTTCGACAAGTGTTCTACTAGTAAAACATTTCACTACAGAACAATGCACTACGGGAGGAAACCATTTCCACGTTGAACTTTAACCAAAAACGCTCATTAAATGACGACTTACCTTCACAGTAAGGAATATCAGATAAATTTCCGTACATCTTTGCTATAAGAAAAAATAGTACTTGTTTTGTGGAGTTGAAATTTAAACAACACTGGCCTTTCACACGAAGGTGAATACTCAAAATGGCAAAATTTCCATGTCCCTACTGCTTTGCAACTTAGGATGTGTCCAGTTACTAAGCGCTTTGCTTACTTTGCCAGTGTTAAACTTTATAGTGTTTATGCATTTTCTTATATGTTTTTCAAAATATTTTGTATGCTTCGTTTCTACTTATGGTAACTATTATTCATGCAGTAATAAAGGTTTTAAGGGAGCTTGAATTTTGTTGAACGTCCGAAGAGAAAACTTGGGCTAACTCAGATAAGAGGAGATGGGGCGTAAACATTTCAGGAAAAATGCTGAGGTAATTTATGGGCAGTCCCTTATTCGGAAATACCGAATGTGTGGAGCCGTCTTCAACTTTTATGATGAAAAAAAACTAAAATTGCCCAATTGGTGATAATTTCCAAAACACTTTTTTTTGTCGCCATCAAAAGTAGCTTAATCGGCGATTTTTCGCCAAATCTGGCAACTCTGCCATTATAACATTTTTACAAACTTTAAATTTTTTTTTTTTAATACAGAATATAAAATANTCAAATGCTGTAGAAAATAAAATTAGAATGTATAAGTGGATAATGCAAACTTATTGTTGTGTTTACATACTATATGCACTCATTATTTTATTTTAACATAAATTTAATTTATAATTATTTTAAAATATTATTTTGTTTATAAATAAACCAAATACAATAATTTTTCTTTCATAAAGTCAAACGAAAATGATTTAGTATAAGTAACCTGGCGTCAGATGTAGTCATTATGAGTTTTTTGCAAATTAATTTTTATATTTATAAATATTAAATAATATTTTAATTATTTCAAAAACGTTAAATAAAATAATATTTTGTTTTCAAAATTTTTAATAATTTATGAACGTTTACAGATTATTTAATGACTTATAGCTAGTTCCACGTGCTTTTTCCCTAGTGTAGTGTTGGCCACGTGTTGTGTTGTTAGCAACATGCCTGTGGAAAACTGAATTTTTTCGTTCATCGCACCAAAAAATTTTGTATTTTAAAGTATTAAAAATGATCTTACAAATTAAAACAATCTTAAAATCATTAACATTTCATCGAAGAAATCTGTCGACTAACAGTTATGTTGACTTTTTATCTGGAACAGTTATTTTCTCAAAATCTAGAGACATTTATCGAAATTTATCCTTTGAAGATTGGATTTATTCCAAGATAGATTTCAAGAATAAGCATCCTGGTTTGCTGTTAATGTGGTGGAATCGTCCTGCAGTAATTATTGGTCGTCACCAAAACCCGTGGGTTGAATGCGACTTAAAAGTTCTTGAAGAAAATAATATAATGTTAGTTAGAAGAAACAGTGGAGGTGGAACTGTGTATCATGATTTAGGAAATCTTAATTGTTCCTTTTTAACTTCACGTTCTAAATATAAACGTAGAACAAACTTGGAAATCATGTGTAAGGCTTTACAGAAATGGAACTTTGATGTTTCCATATCAGAAAGAGAAGATATTGTTATTCAAGGAGAATATAAAGTATCCATTTGGTAGTTTACTATAATTTTACCAATAATTTTTGTTCTTTTCATATCTCATTAGTTATAAATACAAAGATACCTCAAAATTTCCACGTTTGCTTGAGGTTAGCTACAATATATGCTTCCTTCCATTCTCTGCACATATTTTAACTTTTCCTCATATTCCATACATCTTTATTTTCAACTACAGTTGTCAACTTCAGAATTTTCTGAACTGTATGGGATTTTGGATATTTAAAAAAAATTCTTCAGAAAATGCAAACTGTTTTGAAAAATGTATGGGAATGTGTGTTTTTTTTTAATTGTCCTCTTTCCTCATGAGAAGGTACCCTAATTGTAATCTGAGTTATTTTTATTCCCATTAATTTGCTTTTTTCCCCCCCATTTTTCTCTTGTGTGCCTCTTAGTGCCTGCAAACATTAAGAAGGCTTGTTTTAATCATACCCATCTCTGACAGCAATGGGTCAGAGATTTGAAAAATTGCTAGGGTTTTTTGACACATCTGGATTCATTCCTGGATCTCCACTGGTTGACTGACACCTTAATCATTTTGCCATTTGTCTATCTCATTATCATCATCATTATTGTAATAATCAAGGAAAGGAAGAAATATTTCCAAGATTGTAGGTTTTCTTTTGTTCATTACTTTTTTAGTTTTTACACTAGAAGGATGTCTTAATAATTCACGTCTTAATAATTCTTGTCCTTTAATTGAATAGTTGTAATAATTTTTAAGCTAAGTTAACAGTGCTTTTTTTCTGTAAATCATTCAGTTTGAAGGTTTAGAACCTGAAACAGGCTTGTAAATTAGCCAAAAACATTTGTTTCTAATGAAGTATTGCTGGAAGACATAAGGAAGGTCTGATATTGATTAATGTTAAGATCAGTTTCAGTTTTAAATGATACATTGCTCTTGCTTAGTAGTAATCTGGCTTTTTCTTTCAATTCTTATTTTTCTTGTGGTTGATAGACTAAGTGTGTTTGGAATTTTTTAAAAACTTTTCACTCCAAGAAAAATAACTCAAGTTGAATTTATATCTGAGGAACTTTCTCAACAAATGCTTGATCTAATAAAGTTGTGGCCAATTTTAATAGTAAAAATATTAAATTGAAGCTATAGAAATAGTTAAGATTATTAATGTTCCATATAATATATTCAGACTTTCCAATACAGATCCAATCAACTTCAAAACGTTAAGAAGGCTGACATTGGACAAAAAGCTGAAAAATATGTTAAGTAAATGCAATTTAGTAGTTTCAGTCTCATTTTTTGATTAATTGTCCAATCTGGAAACTTGACCCCAGACATGTTTGGAATTTCTATTTTAAAACCCACGCACAAGAATATCATAAGATCTAAATCAAACAATCACCATAATTTTAATTGGACTATTTTTTGCTACTATCGATATTAATAACAATACTATTTTTGCTAGGCCTATTTTAAAATTATTTAATAAATTATTATAATTATTAGTGTTGTAACGAATAGTATATTCGGCCTCAGGCCGAATACCGAATATTCGGCCAAGAGCGTGGCTGAATAGCCGAATATTCGGCCAAACTATTCGGCTTGATTAACGCACGTACGAAAATTGGCGCGCAAACCTCATTATGGCAAGGATCCTGCTCTCTATTGGCCCGCTGTCACTACGCTTCGCCAATCGCGTTAATTCTTGGCAGTTGTAGCGGACAGACATGAGCGTCATGGAAGTACGAGATAAATGATGATATCAAATGTGGATAACAATGAAATGACTTACACGTGTAAATAACGAAAAAAGAACAGAGAAGGACCACGAAGTGAAAATGTGAAAATAAATATGAAATTGAGTTGATAACATAATCGAACGAGTCGAGGCAGCTTATTGGCACGAAATTCGCGGCTGTCAATGCCAAACAATTGTTATCATAGACTTCCGAAAGCTAAATGCTTGTAATGAAAGTCACTTAGCGTGCACGGGCGAAAGCCTGGGGCCGTTCGGGCTATCAAGCTGTCTCGAATCTGTGAAATCATAATTGTGACTTATATCGACGTCCTATCTGTCTCTTTTCTCCGTTATCACCAGGCTGAGTCACGTAATTGTAAAATGGAAACTCTACAACGGAAAAATGACGAATCGAAAGTATCGTGAGCGCGTATTATGATGTATGCACAGGCATACATGGATTAGAGCTATAGAGGAAAGAGAAAGGGAAGAGCAAAGACGAGCGCTTAAAAAGAAGGATAGGTAGGGTCAGACCCTCAGATGTGCGAGGATTCTCCAACGATAGACGTGTACGTGTGCTGATCTTTGTAATTATAAATTGTAAATATATGTGACTAATATTATTTTCTTTTTTATTTTGTGCATGTTACAAGTTATAAATAAATAGAAACAAACAACACTAACTCGATTACATTATATCTAAATACCAAAATGATTAATTTACTGTGTTTTTGTTACTCCTGTTTTTAGGTATTCGGTATTCGGCCGAATAGTAATTAAATATTCGGTATTCGGCCGAATAGTGAAAAATAGGCCGAATAGACCGAATACCGAATAGTAACCGAATATTCGTTACATCACTAATAATTATTAATTTCAATAAGAGTTGGTACCTAACATTCACCTCTAATACCAAATTACTTAATATCTAATTAATAATAGTAGCAAAAAATAGTCTGATGTTAATTATGGCAATTTTAATTATGGCATTGATAATTAATGGCATTTGATTTATTTTTAATACATTGTGCTTAACAATGTTTATATAATGAGAGCTGTCAAGTGGAGAGAGGCTGGGGATTTTTTCGCAAGTTCAGAGAAAATTTAGGTATTCCTACCCCTATAGAATTAATTTTATTTTTACTAACAGAAAATAAATTAAGATTGATTTTTATTAATGAAGAAACGTTCTATGTGTTTCACTTGTTCAAAAAAAAAAAAATATATATATATATATATATATGGCAAAAGGGGCCTGATTTACTGTTGTGTCCCATGCAAGCTCTTGACAACCCTACTTCTATGCAAGCATATAAAAGAAAATTTTGGTGAATCCTAATTCAGCTAACTTAAAGTGGATTTAACTTGAAGATACCAGAATAAAAAACAGAGAAAGCAAAACTGAAGTTGGGAAAAAGCCGATAAATTATACAATGCACTGACAAGCTGATAGGACTCCCCAAGAAGCTTACTGTCAGTGCAAAAAGTTGATGGTTGTCATCTCTGCTATATATTTAATTATTCCTATTTATTATTAAACTTTTTCAGACATTTATAATTTTCATTGGCCTATTTTTAATTGATGAAATGAATATTTATATATTTATTTTTATGTTTGCATATATAAATTAGTCAAAAGACCAGATCCCTTAACATAGTTTTGTGGATATCACACATTATCTTGATTTTTAGTTTGAAAAGTATGGTATTCAAGATGAATTTACAAAACAGACTACTCAAAGGAACATATTAATATTGGTGATATATAATTTATGCATGAAACTAGGTATATTTGCATTTGTCTACATTTTACTTATAGTAACACACGTTTGCTATGAATGGAGGAATGTATTTGTATGCATATTCAGTTAAATAATGTTCATAGAGAGCATAATTTATGATTTATTATAGAATAAAGTGAGTTTGTTGACTGTATATAGTTTAATATAAAGGTTATTCATACTTTTTAAGATTTTGTTTTGCCAAAAATGTAATTTTATTTTCTGTTTAATGTAATTCTGCTTTTTATTGATAGATATCAGGTACTGCATCTAAACTAGGCAGAGATAATGCTTATCATCATTGCACAGTATTAATTTCTGTGAAGTCAGAAATCCTGAAAGAAGTTTTGAATAAGAATAGAGTAAGTATCTTAAAATTTAAAGTAATAAATATAATATATTTTTTTGTATAAAGTCACAAACTGATGACACATTAGATTGTTGACAACCACTTAATGCAAACAAAGTATGAGTCTCTTCCAAGTTTTCAACTTTTTTCTTTTACAAATTAATATATTTTTGTCATGCACTTTCATATAATTCATTTTATGAAAAAATAATCATGTTGGCACAGTAATATTTTGATTTAAATACAGGAAAGACCACCAGTATGGTTTAAACAATAGAATTCAGCTTGCTACTCTGGAGAATTTGATTCAAGTCCAAGTCATACTCTGAAATTTTTGTGGATTGTTTGACTTGGAAATGTCAATTTTGTCTGTTATCATGTAGCTTTTTTTCATAGGTCATGATGAGCATGAAAATGGAGTCATTCTAATGCCCTAATACTGCTAAAGTTAAAACAAAAATAGAAAATTTTCAAATTTAAATTTACAAGATTTAAGAAATAGTATATAAAAGTAAATATTACAGTTTAGTTGGTATTCCATTGGCATTTTCAAGCAGTTGACACTTTTGGCATGTAAGACCTGTTATAGCTTCATCATTGCCCCATTTGCCAGAAATTTTGGGTTTCTGTTAATTTTTATAACTCATGATAGTATCAGGGTCAACAACATACCTTACGAATCGATGACCAGTATGCAAAGAAAAAACAAAATCAAAGTTTTGTTTTTTTCTTTGCACACTGGTCATCAGTTTGTAAGGTATGTTGTTGACTATACCCGGTGTTGTGTATTGTTTAGTACCAGGGTCTAGAAATATTTGAAATAAACATGTAAAGAAAAGGTCCTCAACAGAGTCCTAGATATAGTTGGATGGACAAAATTAAGCATAATGTGAAGAAGAAAGGAGGAAATTGGTAGGAAGTTAAGCAAGAGAAATGCTAGTTAAATAGAAAGAAAGGGAATTTATATTTTCTTACCCTGCCTGTCCATAACTGGATAACTGGACAAAGAACAATATTACTAATATAAACTCTGTCGCGCGTGTGTGTGAATTCCTTGTAACTACTGTATATATATTTTTGTCCAATCCAGATGAAATTTTGGTTAAATTCATTTTATGTTCTGACAGAAAGTATAAACTACTTTATTTTGCAGAAATATTAGCTATAGAATAAATGTTTTACGATTCTGGATTGGTGATTGCACTTATGTTGCAGTGATGTCAATGATCTCATTTAATTTAATACCCAATAAGGGAATTTCCCTTAAGTTGCATTTTTAAATACAATCGATTCTGCTTAATTGGGACACATTGGGACTAGTCCATTTTGGCCCAATTAAGCAGCTGTCACAATTAAATGAACTAACATAAAATATGTAATATGTAGGTAAAAAAAATAATAATTAGATACCTATTTTAATGCTTTATTAAACCTAAATACAGAAAATATTCGTACTATAAATTTGCCAGACTCACGATGATAGATAACTGATTTGCATCACGCTAATGTTGCCAAATATTAGTAGTAGAGACACAAGGGTTGACTGTTCAATCCATTCCTGATCAAATGATCTTTCCTTTCTCCCTTTTTAGTTAGAACATGTCTGGGCTCATCCAAAAGTCACATTACAGCCTTTCTTTGAGCCCAGTTTCCTTTACTTGGAGATGGTCACTTTGGTGGGAGTGTCTGTACAATCTGCCAGCTCTGGATGCTGGTCTCAGTGATTGGATGACTGCTTTCCAAATCTAGATGTAATCATACACACAACATCTTCCAAAGGAATACTAGCTGTCTTCTAACTTGGTGGAGAGACTTCGAAAAATTATCTGGGGGGTTTTGCCCCTTCATTTTTAAGGGTATCGTCTGATCTAACTGAAGTATTTTGTGATAAGTTCATTAAATAGGCTGAATGTGTAATAAGCCTGTTCTTTAGCCATATGTAACTTTTGTAATAGAAAAATCAGCTTTACTACAAAGAAATTATCTTAAAAGAGTTCTAAACAGATAAATATTTTAATCAATACAAAATGAACAGTGTAATGTTTCGTATTATTAAAGTAGAAGATAACCTACTCAATACATCTCATATTGTAATTTTTCTTGAATGATTCAATCAAAACTATTCCTTACTTCTCATGCTGGAAAATTTCTTTCTGAGTCTGTTGTGTCTTTAATAAATAGAATTCAGGCTAGCTACAGTATATAGTCCATTATTAGTATTTTAGTATTAGTATTAGTATTAGTATTTTAATACTATAATTGATCTAAATTTTATAATATAAACAATACTAAAGATGATTTATGTTATATTTATTTTAATTTTAGGATGGAATAATCAACAAAGCCACTGAAAGTGTAAAATCAAAAGTTATCAATTTGCAAGAGTTGTATCCAATTTTAGAAGTTGAAGATGTTGCACAAGAAATTGCAAAATGTTTTCACAATTTTTATGGCGTAAGTTGACTTTTTCTACACTTAAAGCCACCAAAAATACTCTTTGCACTATTTAGTAAGTCTTTTTTAAAGTTTATTATCTATTTCCTCAAATGCTACATTATTCTAAATTATTACAAAAATGAAACTTTTAAGTAAATGTTTACATCATTTTAATTTAAAACATATATTCTAACCAAGGCATGAGAAAGGGAGATGGGAATCAGATCAGTCACAAAAAATAAGTATCTAACAGTCAATGTTGGCATACATATGTTTCTAAAGACAATGTATTGATAACTTCTCATATCAGTGTGAAATTTCTTGTTGTATCATATGGGTGATGTCCAAATTGTTATTAAAACATTGTGTTTAGGAACTCGGCAAAATTTCGTCTTAGGTTTCTTTAAAACCCATAAAAATATATAAACATCCCGAAACACTATAGTTTAGTAATATGTCAAATGACTGCTGGATTAAGTCAGGCTACTTTACCGCTATTATTTTTAATCAATNTGTTACATTTAATAATTAGAAATAATTTAATTTATAATATTCTGGAAGAAAAGAATCGCCCCAGATCTTCATCCTGATCTTCCCTTCCAGATGTATTCAGTTTTGATATAACCATCCTCAGATTCTTACTATTTCATTAAAAATAATAGCAGTAAATAGCTTGATTTAATCTGGCAGTCATTTGGCATACCCATAAAACTATATAAACAAAATACATAAAAATAAATTTTCAATTTTGTATAAAAAGAAATTTAAATTATTTCACTTTGATATAAAAGACCAAATTTTGGATCATCTATCTGTCTAGTTTCTAGTAATAAAAAGTGTGATCTATATTTGATTCTCTTTCTTGCTATGACTGCATGATTATGAAGTTGTTATTTTATATTTTAAGTAAATATCATTAACACTAATACAGAATTTATTCAAAAGGCAACGTACAGAATAAGAATCTTTTGAACAAAACAAACATTTAAAGATTTTTAAAAACAGAATGATCATATTAACAGTTATTCTGGAAATCAGATATAATTGTATATTTCTCATAAAAGTAACTCTATAACAATATTAATATTCATAATATTATTTTCATTACAATACATATGTCACTTATCAGCCAATCGGAAAAATAAGATGGATGTTTTTAAAACAAAAATCTTATTCTATTTTTCCATTTTTTCAAACTTTTATGCTCATCTTTAATTAGTTTCTTCTAAGAACTATAAATAATATAATATTCAAGTCATTAAATGAAAGAAGTATGTAAATATTCAAAGAAAGAAAATGTTAGACTGTTGATAATATACTGTATAGTTAGACCTGCAATGGTTATTACTGTACTGAACATGTGCAGAACTTTTTCTTGTCATTATTCTCTAAACAATACAATATAACAACTATTTACATAGTATTTACAATGCATTAAGTATTATAAGTAATCTAGGCGCTATTTAAACTATATAGGAGGATATGCATAATTTATATGCAAATACTACACCATTTTATTTAAGGAACTTGAGCATCTTGGAACTAATACACCACAAATATGAAAGATGGCCTGTATAATAAAAAATCCACCTATAATTTCCAGAATTTGTTTTCTGTGAACATGTATTTCCAATTCCTTTAAAGGATCATCATCAGATTCATCAAATATTATAAAATTATAAAACCATAATACATAATCATTATCAAATGAATTTGGTAGAACAAGTTTAAAATTCAAAATTGAAATAGATGCATATGTTTCCAACATATCAACATGTACTTACAATATTTAAAATTAATTAAACTCAACACTGTGCAAATTGTTTTCATACCTCTGTGTGGACTCATATAAAAATAGTAATACAACTGTAGATACTTTTTAAATTTAGGGTAAACATTTAACTACTTGTAAAATCCTGCAACTTTATTTAGCCTTAGTGTATTTGATACAAATTCTGGTCTTAATCCATTTGTTAAGACCAGGGGTCACCAAACTTTGTTCACAGCAGGCCAGATAACAGGGAATGATGAGCATGGGCCACATAACTATTTTGTTCAATACAGTACACTGAATACACAAAAAATAAAGACAACCAATATATTTTTTTATTGTGTACTGGCACAATGAAGTGACGTTTTTCTCAACACTGGGCTAGTTGAATCTTTTATTTAGTTAGTACTTTCTTTTATTTATATACTAACTAAATAAAAGATTCAACTAGCCCAGTGTTGAGAAAAACGTCACTTCATTGTGCCAGTACACAATAAGCAAATACAACACGGTTTCGACAACATCAACCAATATATTTATTTACCAATACACAAACATGATCACTGCAGCAAGCTTGTCATCCATTTTCTTAGAAACATCATTGCAAGTACTTACACAAAAAGCACTGTTATCCAAATTTGCAAAAAGTTGCCGAACATTTTGTTTCACCGATTTTCCTAAATATTATGTTACTGTCAGATACAAAAGTCAGATTGAACCAATTTTGGCATTCTTACTTACACTTATTTTAATTTTTTCTACATAGTAAGTTTGTCTACAATCTATGATATTTCCATATAAATAATTATATTTTAGCTCATTTGTGGCACAGTGCGCGGGTGGGCCAGATGAACTGACCTTGCGAGCCGTAGTTTGGTGACCCCTGGTTAAGACAATTACCCTTAATGGACTTTTATATATTTTCAGCATCTGTACATTATGTGCTAATACAGGAGTTCTTGCTTGGTTTCAATATATTTTGTTCTCTTGCATTGTTGCAAATCTTCATGATGATCCATTTATTACTTTTCATGTTATATCATATCACCTTTGTATTTCTTTATTGTATTTTTAAATGCTCTGGATGTGTATCCTATATATGATGTTTTTCTTTTCCATGCTTCATTCTTGGTTGGAATATTGTACATTCCTGGAATGGTATTTTGGTATTGTGGTTCGTTATCATTTCTTAATATGTTATATATTAAAGGTAGATTTTTTTATGGTAAATATTTCAGTTAATTCATTAATTGATGACTGTACATTAGAAGAGCAAAGTGTTTATTTTGAAATATCTTGTTTCCCTGATTATTAACAATGATAGATATTTTTATAGATATAGCATCAAAAATGATATTAAGAATTTCAAACATATATATTTCTAGGAGGATTTATCAAAATGAAATTTTCTTAGCAATCAAACATGGTTACAGGGGAACATTATTTATAATTTAGTGTGCCCATATTAACAGTAATAACTAGATATCATCCCTATTGAAAATTTTTCAGGAGGATTTATTCAGATTCCATCTTGGTTGGCGGAACTAGACTAAAATAATATAGAAAGTATATATGGTTTCATTAGATTTAAATCTATTTATCAATACATATGAAAAAAACATATGAATGTTTTTCTAGTAATGAAGTATATATGAAGTATGCAATGCCATAATGTTTAAATGCCAAAAAACAAACTTTTCAGGAGAGGTGAAAAATACTTTTTCTAGTGAATGAATTCATCTCAATTTTACAATAAAATGTTGTAAAACTCACTAGGTTACAAATTCTCTGGAATATCAAAATGATGTAAATATAAGCTGTAATGTTTTAAACACCAAAAGTCATGTGACTTGCACTTTGTCACTTTAAACATTATGTCTTAACATAAATTCAACTTCAAAATACTGCCACGTACACCATCACTATCAGCACAATATTTTTTTGCAGCAGGAAACATTGCATTTAGAATTCAATTCTTCAACAAAACATATTTAGAGAAAAATGGCACTTACAATGTGATCATCCAAACAAATTTATATACAGATAAATACAGATAGTTGTTTATCAGTTCAAAGTTATAATTGCTGTTATAAACATCATCCTGTAAGTTAAATATGTAATTTTGCATATAAATACAAAATATTTGAAACTGTTATAATTTCTCTACAAATTCTTGATGTAATTAAAAGTTTCTGTTATAGAAATGTAAGAATAAATTTAGGTAGATATATCTTTCTAGAGGACTTTTATATATTTTTACTAAATTTTTTAAAACTTAATTGTCAAATCTCATAAGTATATAATTACATCTATTATCATGCTGTAAAATTATGTCTATGCAATATATATAAACATTTAAAATGTACATAAATTATAAATTCTATATTATATGAGTTCTAATTTTGGTGTTAGTCAAACTAAGAAGTTATTTTGTTTAATTTTAGAAATAGTTAAATTATTTGGATTATTTTTAAATAATCTTTTAGAACCAAAATAATCAAAAACTTGTATATAAACTGAATGCCAACTTTGTAATTCCATTAAAGAAGAACAAAAGAGAGATGAATGCTACTAGATGGCAATGAACAACTAATATGTACTATATAACTTGTTTTTCTGGTGATAAATTTAGAGAAAAGATAAAGAAACAAGTTTCAATTCAAGTATTATTATTTTTTTCTTTATTTTCATCTTTCATTAAGTTCATTATTGTTTATTATTTTGTATATTAAAAAGTAGAAAATCCACATCCGTGTACTAGATAAACATAGCATTTTTCAAATTTTTGAAATCTTTTGTATGTTCTAATTCTTTTAATTTTAAATATATTCCTGAAGACATTGACATTAAAATCAATGAAAGTACTTGAATTTGTTGTTTTCTTCTAATTTAACACTGAAATAGATTACATAATGTGTGATTAATAGTACATGATATATATATATATTTAAAATNATCTTTCATTAAGTTCATTATTGTTTATTATTTTGTATATTAAAAAGTAGAAAATCCACATCCGTGTACTAGATAAACATAGCATTTTTCAAATTTTTGAAATCTTTTGTATGTTCTAATTCTTTTAATTTTAAATATATTCCTGAAGACATTGACATTAAAATCAATGAAAGTACTTGAATTTGTTGTTTTCTTCTAATTTAACACTGAAATAGATTACATAATGTGTGATTAATAGTACATGATATATATATATATTTAAAATAATTTGTTACTGCAAGAAAAATATTAT